TCAGGTCTATTTTTAGTTGTTTGGTTATTTTCTTTGAGATAATTATTAATGGAGCCATTCACCTTGACTCATTAAGAGGCATTGCTGCGTACCAGACCTTCATCTAATTGCTGTTAATGTCTTGATTAACACCTCGACCTCAGCAAATGAATGGCAGTCAAACTGAAACCACACACTATATCCACTGACAAAAAAGACTACAACATTTCTTCTTCAATTCTTTTAGAAATACCTCCAACAAAACAAATGAATAAATTCTGAGGCTGTCACTCAATAACACAGATGAATTAGCCTTTTGTCTTTAGGTTCAAGTTTTCCATCTGTTAAGACTCAGATTAATGATTGAACCTTTTGGGAGAGTTTATCTGGAGAACCTGCGTAATGTCCAACATTTACCCAGGGAAGCATTGTCTCGACCATCTGATGAATGTTTACTATCTCTTCTGCATTTTCTCTCTCTCTCTCTCTCTCTCTCTCTCTCTCTCTCTCTCTCTCTCTCTCTCTCTCTCTCTCTCTCTCTCTCTCTCACAAACACACACACTTAAAAATGCACAAACTCTCACACAGCAGTCCATTCTCTCTCCGCTCCTTTCCGAGACGCGGGTTAGGCATAGCAATGAGATATCGGGCCAGCGGAAGTAAGAAAGAGGCACATTCATCACCAGCCTCGAGTATCAGTTTGCACACACACACACACACACACACACACACACACACACACACACACACACACACACACACACACACACACACACACACACACACACACACACACACACACACACACACACACACATTTTGTCTAGCAAGCTTCGCCTCATGCATTGCAAATGAATCAGTCACTCAGTAACATTGTTCAATATTCTATTCATATGTTATCATCCTGGGACAGTGCAGATACAGCGTGTGTGTGTGGTGTGTTTGTTTGTGTGTGTGTGTGTGTGTGTGTGTGTGTGTGTGTGTGTGTGTGTGTGTGTGTGTGTGTGTGTGTGTGTGTGTGTGTGTGTGTGTGTGTGTGTGTGTGTGTGTGTGTGTGTGTGTGTGTGTGTGTGTGTGTGTGTGTGTGTGTAAAATTGTATTTGCTTTGAAAACAAGTTAAGTTAACCGGCTTATTTAGAATCCCTTAAAGGAATAGTTCAAACCTTTGGGAATTTGCTTTCGTGCTGAGGCTTAGATGTGCGGATTGATACCAGTCTCATGTCTTTACAGTAATTAAAGTGATGCTGCCATGAGCAACTTGATAGCATAGCTAAGCATATATATTGGCAGCAGGAAAATGGCCAGTCTGGCTCTATCCAGCTGTAACAATTACCTCCACTTCTAGCTTCCCAGTTATTGACACATATTGTCTAATTTGTTAATTATGTACAGAAAAGCCTAAACTAAGGGTTGGTTGCTGGATTATTATATTTGCTTCTCAAATCCCAGGCAACCAGCAGAGACTACAGGGAAGTTAGAGGTCCAAGGCAGGAAATGACTGCTCATGTCAGGCTACCTGAAACAATCAGGAGTTACTACACAACTGCTAATGCAATAGCCACCTGACAAACTAGCACCTCCACCTGCTAGCTTAGCCTGTTTTCTCCCAATTCACCATAATTAGTGCAGTCTTTACTCTATAGCGTCTCTCATAAGACACAATGACAAGCTAGCAACACAAAGCTAGCCAACTTAACTCTTTCGCTGTATTTCTCAGTCATTTGCCCCAAAAACAGCTAATTGTGTTTTAAATGTTATAACTGATAAAACCTACAATCTAAACTAATGAATGGAATTTCTTAAGTATGTCGCTAAAAATGTAATAGCAACCTTTTGACACATTTTTATACAAGTTCAAGTGGGCCAGTTTAAAATATGTATCACCAGAACCCTCAGTAGCTGGTATATGAAGCTATTGTTGAGATCCTAAACCAGATTTTTTTTTTCTGTGACACTCGCTGGAATTAAAATAGAGCTTTATTTAGCCCAGTTAAGACTCAGTCTGGAAATCAGGCTAATGAATATTTAAGGAGTCTGTCTTTGCGTCGCCCTCCAACTCTGGAATAAAACTATGTGTAGGCTCACATACGAACTGAAGCCTGCAGATTGCATCTGAAATCCTCTGAATGTATGTGTGGGGATTAGTTTATTGCTTTTTAATCTCCGCTGCTTTATAGATTCATCCAAAGATTTCTCTTTTTTTCCCTCTGCATTTCATTCTCTTAATGTTTTGGTATCAGTATATCATGCCCCTTCCATCTGTCACTCTCTCTTCATGATATATATTTATCTCTCTGCTTGTCCATCCTCCATTTTTCTCCCCATGCAATGCATACAGTTTTTTTCCCCTCTTCTTCCCCATTTTTTTCCTTTCCTTGCACTCTCTTCCTTAAACTAATATCCTGTTCTCTTAGGTAGAGCTGCCAATCCTTTTCAGAAGTCAAAGAACACCTAATTCTTTTGATACACTATTGTATTATATCGTTCAAGGGAAATATGCTTGACAACATTTTCCCTGTTTCCATTCATGCCAATAACAGCTCTTTTTGATTTGGTTTGGGAGAGACAGAGGCAGAGAGCAGTGCAGGGAGAGAAGAGAGATCCTCACTAGTCAGTTCTGACAGGGCCGTGCAGACTCAGTGGTCCGTGTCGGACTGAAGTGTCAACTCCAGTTTTACGTCCAAGCATATCGTTAGAAAGACGTCTTTTGTTGCAGTCAGTCATCGATGTGTTTTGATAAGTGAATGTGCACGGCAGCCAGCAGGGCATTTGCACACATCAGCCTTTTTTTCTGTTCCCAGACTAAAGAGAGGCATTTTAAGAGTGGAGTAAACATGCTGTTAGACACTGGCACACTGCAGCAGCCTCATTTCCACCCTGTAAGGCAGCAGAAGCTGGTTCTAGTGGGGGGACAGGGGAGAGTTTACGTTAGGAGTCGTTGTTGTTTTTTAGATAGTGGTTGCATCACAATTCACATTTCAGCACAGCAGCAGAGCTGTGCAACTGTCTGATACACTCTGTGAATGACTTTCCCATCTTTATTGCTAATATCAGAGCATATTCCAACGTAAGAGCAGATTCTGATGTAAGAGTTGTATTACAGCCAATGGGGAGGGAGATTCCAGCATAACTCAGACAAGCTGAGGTGGCTGTGATGGGATAACGCTGCTCACTGAGTCTCAGAGCAATGCAATAGCACCACCTGTTGGTCAGTATGTTCACAACAAAGGGAACAAGCGGCTCACTTCATTGTAATCAAATTAACAGGACAGTTACCTTTAGCTGCGTTCTGGTTATTGAACATTTACAATTACCTGCTGGGGGGCCAGAGGCTGTTCTTATAGAATCAAATAAAACCTGCTGGGGGGCCAGAGGCTGTTCTTATAGAATCAAATAAAACCTGCTGGGGGGCCAGAGGCTGTTCTTATAGAATCAAATAAAAGCATAATAACACTCCTGCAACCTGTTGATTTTGACAGTTCATTCATGCTGTCAATAAAGTTGTGTTGTATGTGTTACACAGTGGAGCTGCTCTTCTCTGCTATAACTTAATATGCATATGAATAACCATCATTTTGATGTCCTAAATGCTGTACTGCATTATTTATTCAAGGCTGATAATTAATTATTTTTTGTTCCTGTTAGGGCCTCTTCTGTAAAATCCTCTTGTCCCTGATTGAAAAAAAAAACAAGAGTGCTCTATTTCTGTGGTTCCCATCAGGACTCCAAAAAAGATGTTGCAAATCAATTTAAGGGGGTCGCCAGATAATTAACGAAGGAGGACAAAAGAAAATAAGTTCAATCTGTATTGAGGTTATTGTAAAGTAGGTTTTCTTTACACCAGAGAATATTCTTGGTATTCAGCTGCATAAAGATAAGTCAAGAATAGGGGAATAAACAGGTCTGCAGGTTAATATATTTCATATAAAATCAATATTTACAGGATTCTTTTTTTTTCATTTAAACAAATTCAGTGTTTAATAAAGATTGGGTATGCCAAATATTGACTAAGGGATGTCCAAAGCTTAAAATATAAAAAAACAATCCATAAAGTGGATTTTAGGTGAATGTAATGTGTCACTTTCATTTCTGCCATGCGTCTGCGACTAGAATGTCATAGTTCATCAAAAACAAAGAGGAGGACCCATACGCAGAAACCAAAAATATTTAACAAACAAAAGGCAAAACAAGGCGACTTCTTTAAAGACCAACGGAAATCCACAGAAGATGTATGAACAGACAACAAGAGGGAATGAACACTGACTAAATAGACACAGGTAATTAAACACAAGCGAAACTAACAACACAGTTGAGGACAATCAGAGTGATCAAACAGAGGGAAACCCGACAAAGGGAGGAAGTAAGACAAGACAAGAAACACTGGGGACAACAACTATAAAATAAAACAGGAAACACTACAGACTAACCTAGGAAATAATACACTATGGAAAAATACACAGCAGGGAACCAAGCAACACTATGATAGATAGAAAACGCCCAAATAAGACACAAAATGACAACTAAGCAACAAAACAAGGAATAAACTAACGAAACAAGAGTAGACTATAACATAGAAGGCTGAAAAAGTTTCTCTTCTTTTCTTTTAGCTTTGAGTTGACCTTGTCACAACTAGTAGACACATTCAACAACTGTTGATTTGAGGGGACATAAAAGGCCAAAGTTGCGCTCGTCATTATAGCATATTTTCCCCCATGAGACAGTCACCTTGGCTTTGTCACTTTGTCACAGAATTACAAGCCTATTCATTTTGTTGTTGTTGTTGTTACATTGTTGCATTTTCACATTAGCTTGTTAAAGACATGAACCTCTGAAAGTACAACAAATCCAAAAAAAAAAAAATTCACAGTATATTATGCATTAACAACTTTAAATCTTTGTCTGTATTATTTTTAATCACATTTACTTCATTGTTTCCCCCCCTTCTCGTTTCCTCTCCACCATCTTCCCCTTCTCCTCTCTACCTCTTTTCTTTCTTCTCCATCTTGTCTCTCCCCCTGCAGATTTAATAAGATACAGAACACTAAGAACACAATGAAGAAGGATGGCATCAGCTCTCTGACCTACAGACTGGTTCAGGTCAAGAAGTACCCGCTGTACACAAACATCTCAGTGGAGATCGGCAAACCACCGCCTAGGCCTTTCAAGGGCTAGAGACCGACGGAGAGTCAGGAGGGTTGGCATCCATTGACTGGAGGGAAAAGATGTGAAGAAAACAAAGAGAATGCATATCCTTGACTTAAAAAAGACTGAAAAGATTAGGGGGTGAAAGAAAAAGGAAAAGTCACAAGCACATCATAGTCTCTTTCTCCCTCTTAATCCTCTTTCTTCCTTTTTTTTTTTAAAGATTTCAGCTCTCTATTTCTGGAAGAAAAAAGGACTCGATTCCTTTCCTCCTACAACTTTTTTCAAGCAGAAATGGCTTCACACCCCTCCCTTTACCAATCAGTGACTTCAGAATTAAAGAGTGGACCAAAGCTGGAGTATCAGTGGCTGACCGAAAGTTGGCGTCAAACCAGGAAACTGAAACTTGGAGTGTTTCCCTTAACAATCTTTCGACGACTGGAGGGTGTCCAGTGGCATATCGACAGAGGGGACTATACTTTAGGAGATCAGTGGGATGGTTTTCATGGCCAATTCTTGAATACAGGACAGCATCGAGGGGTATTTCTTGGAATATCTGACAGGGTTCATTGACAGAAAATGGAAAAAATGGGTCTTTTGACATGGATACAAAGACAGGAAAACGAAGGACACAAGATACTGAAAGGCCTGTTTGGAAATGACAAACCTGGTGGACAACAAACACTACATTTACACCAACAAAAATGTTACTTTTCAAGCATGTAAATGTTGAAGATAATGGGGAATCCCATATTTAATATGGTTAAGTTTAGGCCTATGGAATCGTATCTGATGTATTGCATATCAGCTGACTTTTACCTCAACGAATGATGCTAACAGACTCTTGAATATTAACGTCTCCGTCAGGGAGTCTCCTGTCTGGATCGAACTACTCAATCAAATCCTCCGGTATCAATTATTGAATGTGTATTGTGCCTGCATCTACAGCAGAAGACTCAAAAACAGTGCTGGGACACGCTGATAAGAAACCTGTTCTTCACGAGAACTTTCTTTTGGTTCTCCTTTTTTTATAAATATAAACTCAAACTTTGGAAACAGAGACGGACTCAGTGGAGTGACTGGAAAGTTTGGCAACAAAAAGTAAACATATTGAAGTTATGAACGTTTTTTTACTGTGTTGAATGCAGTGTGGTGGAACTACCCATGGGAATACATTTGGAATCATATCGAGGAACAGAAGACAATAAGGCAGGTTTATGCTGACAGCCCAGTCATGATTTGACCCCCATGTGGCACATGATGGATGTTAGCTTTCTGGACACTTTGTTTTTTTCAATCCGCTTTAAGAAAGGTTTATTGTGATAATCTGAATTTAACAGGTCCATTTTTTTCTCTACAAGATGCTAATCCCTTGAGACACAATAACATTCGTAAATGTACACATTCGATCATGTACAAACTAGGGATGGGCATGTCAAGCAGAGATACTATTGGATATTCTCTGGGAATTATTGCAAACCATTCAACCATTTTTTCTTATTTTGTTATTTAATAGCGGTTAGCAAACAGCTTTTAGATGTGCTACAGTCACAGTCTGGCACTATCAATCAATGAACCAATCTTCATTTGTATAGCGCCAATTCATAACTAATGTAATCTCAAGACACTTTACAAAAAGCAGGTAAAATACCTTACTCATTGCTATATTACAAAGGCCCAACATTAATGAGTCATGAACATTAAGCAACATTTAGCAACGTTGCAGCAGCAAGAAAAAACTTTCTTTTAAGAGGGTGAAATCTTGGGCAAGACCTGACAGCCACCTGCTGAAACTGTGCTGGGCTTACAGTACTAGTAAAGCATTCAAACCTGGTGCCGGCAAATACATTGGAAAAACTATGTTTTTTGATGATATGGTAAATGCATGAACTCTATGATTCTTCTGGATTATCAACAATCATGGCCCATCCCTAGTGGAAACATGCATTTTCTGAACATACTGTATATGAGGAACAAAAAAGGGTTCAACAGCAAACATGAGCTGGATATGTTCTCAAAGGCTCCACAGACATCAAGAGTAATCTATTTTGAGGGTCATATTTCAGCTGACAATATAACCATTATGTCAATATCATAACTCTACTGATACTGTTATTATGCCACTTGTCTTTCTGTTACCATTTTCTGTCCATCTTTGAGGAAGAAGACCATCACATCCAGAAAGAGGAAATGACAGAGATCGTCTTCTGTTGATGGAAATAGTTGATTTAAAGGTCGCTATTAGAAGTTATATGTTGTTACTTTAATTGACGTTTCTCTTGCTGCTTCTGATTTTATCACCAGGTCTGTAATGGCATCATTTTAACACATTTCAGATATCATAAATGATGGGTTTCAAACAGCCAGGATCACGTTTTTTATTGAAATTGTGTTGATTTTGAAACCTTTTTGGTTTCATATGAGTTTCATAACTTTCCTTCTGTAAAAAAACAAACACTCTGATCAGGATTTCCTTCATCAGAGCACAAAGCCTTTTACTTTTTTTTTATGTTTTCATATGTAACTTTTTCTTTCTTTGTTTTTGTTTTTCCTTGTCTCTACTGTTGATGCTGTTACTGCTGACGCCTAAACACCAAACAGATGCCTTCAGTAGTTTACAAAGGGACTGGAAAGGTTGTTTATTTTCCTTTAAAGGTAATTTGGCTGACACAATCCATGGAGGAATATGCGACATATGACATTTGAAATGTCAAAATGCCATGTGATTTTCATGCGCAATCTGCCGAACAGTTCAAATTCTGCATCGTTTAGAGCAACATGGGGCGTACAATGTTTGCCTCGTTTGGACAGCCTTGAGGCGAAAAATGTTCCCATCTGTTTGGCTCTCCGTTATCTTCACCTAAAGCCTGTTGGAAGGAATGATCGCTTCTCTCTAACACACACACGCATTCATACTGTCTTCCCTTTTTCCTTTGCATTATCTCCTCTTTCATTGCCTCCTCTTTCTTACTCTGCCAGTCCACGCTGTGTGTGTCAATGGCGCTCTGTTGTGCTTTGTGCCGAGCCCACTTCAGGCACAGCTGTGTCTCACGAGCGCTTCTTCGTTCAATAGATATCGACAGGGCCCCTCTTTGTGTCCCTGAATCTGTCCCACTTTACTTTATCTTTAGTTCTCGTTGTACTCACTCCCTCCCCGTACATGACTCCTACCTGCCTCACCCCATTTTCCCCTCTCTCCCCCGCTGAATCTGACTCAACTATTCCTTTTTTTTATCCTCTTTCTTCTCTGAATTTTGAAATTAGACCGTACAGAAATCTCCTGGTGAGCTTCTGTTTCCTCAGCGGGCAGACTACATGTGGGGAGATCAATACAAGCCTCTCCCTGTACTGATTAAAGGCTCACCCTGTGCAATATTACAGAACTGTTCAGATCTATCTTATAACCTGCTTTGAAGTCATTGTGTTCATGTAGGATATAAAGTTAGAGCATTTTTAACGGTCTTTCAGCTCAGTTTGTTATGCAGTCATGTTATTTTTGTATACATGTTTTCATTTCATTGATTTCAAATCTGTATAAGCAGTAAACAGATAATATGACAGCTATTGCTTTGATTTCCACCTTGCAGTATTAAAGGGTATTCCAGAGATTACGCATTTTACCTCCATAAAGTTAGGCGACTTCGGAAACACAGATGAAGTAAAGAAGTTTGTAAATTTAAAGCAGCAGGGACTGAAATGTCTAGACTTAAAGTCCTTAGAATGAGTAAAGATCCAAAAACACTACATTTCCCATAACACAACAGGATAGTAACTTAGCGTTGTAAGGGTGAGGGCCGCATTTTGGGTCCCCTTGATTAGTGTTATTCTTTTTTCCACAGATGATATTACATGATTCACAGTCAGAACCCATCTACAAAATTCACAAAACATTATCAACTATTGGAAAACAATATTAGCATCAATATTACATTTTTTAGACATGAGGTTCTGTGCTTCTAAACACTGTAGGAGAAAATAACCACGACTCAAAACTTCCGCTACAGGCTGATTTTACTTTCTGTAGCATGAACAAATGCACTTGGCTTTTTGGGGAGCTACAATGGTCAAATTGACCATTTATGTCACCTTGTTGGGTTCACTCTATAAAAATATGATGAAGCATAAACTGATAGTTTTAAGAGTCTGTCTTTATTAACCCTGAGGATGATGTTTAAAAATCTGTTTAAATGGATACACATATCTGTTGGAACCTCCTTTCCTCCTAAACCCTCACTTTCAATCCCCGCACCTCCACTAACAACGGAAGGCTTCTGTTTGAGATTTGAAGTCTAAATGCTCGAGCTACGCAAGACATTATGAAGCTGTTTTCACTGGTTGAGTCACACTCTTCATGACAACTTAAGCACTCGTCTTCATACCTAAATTGTTTGAGTGCCCTTTTAAATTATATCTTTGTCAAGCTTATTCTTACAAATTACAGCAATTCCTTTTCTAAGGTTGGTTCCATGTAGAAAGAACAAGCTGAGGAGAGTGACAGTTATTGGAAAAATGAAGGATAAAGCAAGAGAGTCGTGGCCCCCAGTGTGTATAAGCAGTAACATGGGATGCAGATGTAAAGATCAGAAACTTCAGCGAGAATAGTGTTTGAAGCGTCTCCTTTACTCGAGCATTGAAACGACTGTGAGCAGCACTTGATATTTCTTAAATTACTTTTGACTCTTAAAGCTGTTCCAGTTGTCAAGCACACCTCAGGTGGTTGAGTAATGGAGACGGTTTTTCAGATACTTTTTTGGCTCATCTGCAGTGGAGAGCAGACAGGACTTAGAGGCCTGCGGGCATTTTTAAACATTTACTGTATCTCTAGCTATGTTTTTTTGTACATTGAATGTTGAAAATGTTATATCTTATATAGAATGCATTATGTCATATCAAACCTACTTTTTCTATACAATCAATAAATCTGATGGTTAAAGATCGTGTTGTGTCGGACTGTCTGTGTCAGTGGCCTGTGCGTGTGTATGTGTGTGTATATATATATATTTGTTTTTATGATGGGATAAAGTAGACCGCTCACCTTCTGCAAAGTTTTTATTTTCTCAGTATAAAAAGTTCACTGAGAAAGAAAGTAAAGCTTCTTTTACTGTCTTCTTCTTTCCTTCTATTGTTTTACAGGAAGCAGTGATCGCAAACTTTCAGCAGAAACACTCTCAAGGGAAAGGCTCTATCACAGAGGCTGTTAACAAAATAGCTTATTTTTCACATTAAGAAAGAATAGATGCAACACAAAGGAAACACAAAGACACATTTTTAACCGATATAAAAAGGTTGTTTAATTTTTCATATTTTTACAGGGTGATTTGCTGTATACCAGCATAAAACACTAAATTATGCTAGTGTGCTAATATCAGTTCCCTTTTATTCAGGCAGTCAGTTGTAACTCCACCAAGTCAAAGAAGATTGACACTACTCTTGTGTTTGTACGGTGGGCCTAAATGTACTGCTACAGCAGAGCAGTAAGCTAACCTAGCTTAGCTAAAAGACTTAACATGGGGAAATAGCTGGCCTGGCTCTGTATAATGGTAACAATATCCTAAAGCCAACCCTTCTCAAGCTCACTTTATGTTGTGTTACATCTTCTTTGTTTAAAACTTACAAGCCAAAGTGTAAAAGCCAGTGGAGACTCTAAGAAGCTAAAAGTCTATGCCTACAAAATATGCAAACAAAGGCACCTTTTCATTATAACACTTTGGGCCGTTAAAAAAAACACAGATAAATAAAGAATTAAACATTGAGCTCTAGAGGTGTTTGTATATTTTGTTACCTTTTGACGAACCTAGCCAGCTGTTTAACCCATTTTTGTATGCTAAACTAAGCTAACTGGTTGCTGGCTTTAGCTTCAAACTAACCATATCAAATTGGTATCAAATTTAAGATTGTACCCTAAGAATACATTCTCAAGTATTTTCCACAAATTGTCAGACTATGCCTTTTTTAAGGACGAACAAAGAAACGGTTTTCATATCTTGTTTGATCTTATCTCTGCACTGTTTGGTGCATTTACCAGTCCCCTCAAGGAAATGCAGCGAAGAGAACAAGAGAATATTCTCTAAAAAAGAAAAAGTCTGTTCATAAAATAAGATTCAAGAGGTGTCCATAACTGTAAAAGTTTTAACTTGATCACACATCCTGCTTCAAGAAGTCTCTCGTGGAGAATTAAGGCAGTGAAACTTGTCGTTTTTAATTATATACTTCATGCAGTACCAGCTTGGGAGTCTTATACAGTAAAGTTAATACCTGCTCCGACTCAGCACATAAACATATAAGTAGACAAGATTATTTTTGGTTTTCATCCAAAGGTCCCTCGTGACTACAGAAGTAGATACTAACAAATAACTGTAAGATCTGCTGCATATAAACGTATAAAATGACATGTCATGCTACATTTCATCATACACTGAAGGTTAATGTTAACAGTACACTTTGAGAACATGGAAAATACCAGAGTAGCTGGCTAATGCTGCACATTCATCCTTGTGATAAATGAAGAAAGCCGTACATTTCAAATGCATATTCCTGCTCTACAGTTTACAAATAACATTCCATATAATGAAACTCATGTCTACAACTGCTGTATTACTACATATTTTAAGCCAGAGTCCCATACATTAGATTTCAATAAGTATGGAAATTGACCTGCAGAATTTACAGAGCATTACAACTTGTTAATTGCTTTGCTTAGGCGTTTCCTACTCTAATTTACATCACAGTTGAGCATACATTTGGGTGCTGCATCAAACCGTGACAGGTCAATTACAATTTCTCGTTATCCAATAATCTCATAGGTTTTGTTATGGAGCTTGTTGCCAAAGCAGGTGTATAGAGATATTTCTAAAAATCAAGGGGAAGTAGCTGTTATAAAAGCTATCTAATGTCTCCCTCTCACAATGTAAGGGATTGGTCCAAATTTAGCAGATGCTGTTTATAGCCACAAAAATATTAAAAGGTAACTATAGTGGTTGTGTTCACCTCTTAGAGGTCAAGTTTGTTTATTTTTTGATTACTGTCAGATTTAAATATGTTTTGTTGAGATACAGAAATCAAGAAAGGTTTGCCCCAAAGGTATGTGTGTTTAAAGCCTTGTAATTCAAAGATCACAGCAGGCCTTAAAATGTACTTGTTTTAGGGATTTAATCTTGTTTTTGTTAATAATTTCACCAATTTAGTTTATTTTCAAGGACTACAATTCATCTTCTCAGCTCATCTGTTTTCCCATACACAAAGCAGGGAAAGGGGGCCATGTGTTGAAACATCTGCATAACCACCCTGAATAGTGTGTCTGTACCAACCAGTTCTTCTTTGCTGGAATGGTACTGCCTGTTCATGATGTTTCCATGCCTCAGCTGGTTTGTGGTTATCTCAAAGGTCATACGTCCATTTTTTAAAATATATGTTACTTTAGCTTGGCAATATTTTTCACAAAATTTCAGTTGAATTGCCAAAAAGTACTGACCAAGCAGCATCGTTTCAGCTTTGACCAACCAGCCTTGAATTTAGACCTTGCTTGAAATATGCTGCAAAGGCCCGATAAAGGTCCAGCCTTGTCCTTGCAGGAATCTTGATGAATCCCCGAAACTAACATTTTTGAAGAAGCATATCATCCACTATGTCTGGCTTTACTGGCTGCCCAGGAGCTTTCAGCATGTTCTTAAGAGATGGAGCATTTATAGGATGATTCAGGGTAACTGTTGGCTCTCTGATGAGCGACTGAATCACTCTTTCTGGGTGGACGGCTGTTCAGGTGTGCAGTTTTTGAGGCGAGAACAGGTGGCGAGACGGTTTCCTTCCCAGTAGCCTGCGTCCTGGCCATCATGACAACGACACTTGGTGCAGGAGTCCACCCAGATGGGCTCTCCTGCTGGGATCACCTGGCTGCGTGATGCATTAACATAGCAGTTAGGACCTGGAGGGAGATGAGGAACAGAGGTAAGTAAAACTGCAGCATTAGATGCATTATATCAACATTTTACAGTACTACATCTACAATATTGTTTGTTCCATCTGTCTGTTTTATTTATTTATTTATTTGTTACTTGCTACTTTTTTCTTGTACATATTTTTGACTTACCCTCCTTGCATTCAGGGCAGCATTTCCCTGGCTGGTAGATGGGGTTGACACATGGTGGCGGTGCACAATCTGCAACCAGACAGCGGGCGATGCCATCACTGTCACAGGTGCATTGCTCACATTCTGATGGCTAAGAAAACACAGGCACACATGTAGTGTCCACATACAGCTTAATACTCAACATGGCTCATATTACTGACCAGCAACTCTCAGCAAGCCCTGCTCATGCCACCTCAAAAGAGGGCGCCATTTACCTCCAATTCCCTGCTGTGTACTCAAGTTTCATACCAACATGCCAAACTGTAACTCAATGATACAGAGTTCAGGAAAGACATACACAGAGAAAGATGGGTATTGGCTTTTTCTTGTACAGTTATAACACAAATGTCTAGGAATCTGCGTCACTGGTACAAGATGTAGTTTAAAAACTACGGGCATATTATGGGCATAGTAACACATTTAATGACAGGGAACAGTGGTGTTGGGTGAAACCTGGAAGAAGTTTTCAAAATCAATACTGACTTGATGTTCAGTTTTGTTTTAGGATAGTGTGGCAGTTCCTACTTATTTATAATATTATGGATTTTTTTAGAAAATGATAAATGATAGCCTTCATTCCTCTACAAATTGAGTATCGGGTGAGGTGAATATCCTTTATATTCTCCATTACTTGTGGTATGCTTTGTGGTAGTCTTTCAAATATATTTCGTACACTATACTCCTTAATCACGCATATTCTTCAAATTTTAGCTTAAAAATATATCGTATTGACTTCTCATTATTTCTAAAAACAATGACATTGTTTCTGAACATTACATATTACATCAACAGTTTTTAAAGTTTTTGACCCCTTACAATGAAACAATGTTTACCTTTAACTTGTGGACATGACTAGTTCAGCTTCTTAGCTTCTCACTTTTGAAGTAAAACTTTACCAGTTTGAAATAAGGGAGAATAAGGTAGTTCATCTCTTACACTCTTACAGGTTACTTGGTTTTTGACCCTTAAGATGACAACCACTTCTTTTTAAAAAAAAAGGGGTTTTTGTGATTTATATATTTTGCTCATCTCTAAAAATTGAAATGCAATGCAATCATCCATAGACTACGCTATTTGAAAACATCAGTGGGACCAATCCTTGCTGCAACCTATCATCGCTCCAAGACTTACCTGGAAGTTCTGCCCCAGTTCGTACACTACTCCTCGGTACTCACAGCCGATCTTCTCGCACCTGGGGCAGCAGTCGGTGGGGTAGTGGCTGACATGGATGCATGCGGCCGGCAGAGAGGTGCACTCGGTGCGGGAACATGCGGAGCCCTCGGAAGTGCATTCACATTGAGTGCAGTGATCAGAGTCCAGAAAATACCATTCCCCGACAAAGTATAAGCTGCCGTTGGCCTCGCAGGTGCCTTCCTGCTGTCCGGCAACTGAGAAGCCCAAACCGGCCTGTGCGCAAAGAAGTGCCAAAACGGCTGTGCGTATTCTGCTCTCCATGTTGAAAACCATCATGCTATAATCCTTGAAACAAAACTGTAAATGAATAAAATCGTGAGTGAATTGAAACATCCACGGTAGTCCAGATGGGATTTGGTAGACGGATTACCAAAGTTTACAAAAAATATGCAGTTTATCACATTGTTATAATACTTCTTAAGCAAAACTTCTAAGAGTACCTCAGTCCCCCGTCCAAGCGGTCTAACCTACTGGGGCTGCGCTACTCCCACAAAGAGCCCGGAAGAGGGTGGAGGGTTGGGGCATAAAGAGGGAAAATTTGTCACTGCCTCTTTGAGGGTTCACACGCCAGCCTTACCTAAAGTATCTCTGTCCCCTCTTTCAATGTTAGTATAGGCTACGTATAGCCTAAATCCAAAGCTTTTAAAGACCTACAAGTCTGCAAAACAAACAATTGAACAGGCTATTCAGTCTGTTTGGAAACATTTATCATTTGGCACGTTTTTAACTTGATCAGCAACTATAATAGAATAAAAATCTGACGTGAATGGTGTGAAGTTAAACATGTAGGCAATTTTTATGACAGGTATTTGTGTAGGGATCACACAGGCTGACAGGTCTAACTGATCTCGCGATATCTTCCCTTAGCAACAGAAAAGTTTGCTTGGATACCACAGTCTCGCTAGATACGAGGAGCCAATGAAGGTGAGCGTTTGTTTCTGAATAGCAACACAAACAAAACGTATTTTTATTAACTTTGGACGATTATAAGGCCAACATAACTTGTTTTTGTTTACCGATATTTTTTAAAGAGCCTACACTATTTAAACACTTGTTTCTTGTCAATTGTTAAATGTTTGGTCTACGTTCAGGTAGGTAAGCTCACTAGCTATCTAACGTCACCCTTAACTAACGACAACTAAACAAGCTTAAATAGTTTATTTCTTTTCTACTGTCTTCTATCAACCATTCCTCAAATTGTTATTTAATCTGTTTTTTTTATTGTAATGTTGTAAGTAACTATTTAGATGGGTCTGTTTTAAAAAGGTTATTTGATTAGTCTAGCTACAGAATGTAAAGAGGTTGTGGTATCAAATAAATCACTAGTTTTGTTTCTTGCTGGATCCAGGTTCTTAAAGGTGATTTTCTTTTTAAATAATGTGTAATAATATACCGAGTTTCTTTATGTTTTGGACAAAACAAACTGTCTGGAGACATCACTAAGGCAACAAGAAAATGTAGCTGGTATGATTTACATGTTTCTACCTGATTAAACACACACACAAAAAACGTTCTAATAAAATAATAACTCGAGCATAGTTTATAAGTATATTAATAAGAATAGAATAAAATAGAATATAATTACTTTATTGAAATTGTGGCGTTACAGCAGCAGGTTATCCAACACACAATATGAGTAAAAAAACACAGTGTTAGTAAATCTAAACATAATATAATATTAAATACAAAGTAAATAAGTACTAAAAATATCAAAACTAAGAATGTGAATATATACAACCAGGATTTAACTAAGCATTACTAGTCTTAAATAGGGAGATTAAAAATGGAAGATTGAATGTAAATGTGAAAAAAACAGAGTCGTAAATGGTTATAAATTAAATATGAAAGATTAAATGTAAATGTGCAAAACAGAGTTGTAAATGGGCAGTATTGACATAAGTTAAAGTGCATGAGTGTAGTCATATTATAAGCAGAAACTATACAATATAACTTAGATAGTAGACTTAAATAGTTGAAGGCTACCATATCATAACATATCTCAGTTATTTACTTTAGTAAATGCACTTGATGACAATGATGTCATTAATCATAGTGGCTCTTAATACTGGTCAGCTTCTCCTAATTATGGTTTAATTTATGTGTTGTTGTTGTTTTTTTGTTTCCCTACCTTCCTCACTCCTAGAATGCCATTTGTATTCAGTCTCCTTATGGAAACCAGCTGTGGTGCCCTAGCCAGTCTCTATGGAGCTTGATCACTGATCATGTTCCTGGGTCGGAGCTGCCGAAGGTCTGTACAGCACTGGGCCACTCCCTGGTTGACATGTACAAAGATGTGCACATTGAGGTAAGAGGGTCTTCTTGAGTTGTTGAAATATTACCTTCCTTCTATTTCCACTCTGCGGCTTTCTTGGCTTTCATTAGGGATTTCACTGCAGAGTGGCCAGCAAAGATTTTTTTCATCATTCTTCCTTCTAAGAATACAGATTCTGTGCTGATATCTTGTACATCAAAAAAAATCCCATTATCCATAAGACTTTCTTGGTTTCAGGGTGAATTATAAAAATGCAAGGCCAAGAATTCCTGGCCAAACAATTTATGAGTTTGGCGTTAGGTTTTGTAAGTAGGTTAGTTTGGCTGCATACTCTCATTAATACGAATTCCCAGACTCCCTCATAAAAGAGTAATGTGGGTAATCTGGCGCTGTTCTGTCCAAATGTGAGCCAGACAGACATCAATATTTACTCAAGGGCAACTCTACTGCCTCAAATCACTTCATGGAAATCCCTCAGCTCTGAAAAAATGAACTCACCCAAGAAATACATGCAGGTTTGATTAGTAACACATCCATTTTCAAGCTCAATCAATCTAGCTTTATTTATATACCCCCGGTCATACAGACCAAATGCAATCTACGGTTTGAATCTAAGTTGGAATGGCACACACCTTGTTGAATATGCCACTTTGAGCCGAGGTTGATGTTGAAGAATCACAATCACAAGTGTGAAAGGACACGCATTTTATGAAAAGTCAGAGTGACATATAACTCTTTTAACTCCCTGACTCCTTCTCTCACAAATTATCTGTACAAAAAATTATCATTTCAATAAAATAATCATGTTTTAAGACCAATACAGTTCTCCTGGCTTTGTTGAAACAAGTCTAAAGCTGTATTGCATCTTATCATAATTCAACATCTTTGGCTTTGTCAACCAAATTTTAAAAAAATTCCCCAGTTATTCTATGTATGCCATACATAGAAGAACTCCAATAGCCAGTCATAAGTTACAAGAACTTGTGATTGATTAATTTTATTTTATTATTGTGTCATGCATAAACAATATGCCCAGCTGAACTGCCTTACTAGAAACCATAATTAATACAAAGCGACTAGAGACCAAAAGTAGACACTTAATAATAATAATACCAACGTAATAAACCATCCTTAAGTTTCTTCCAGGCTTAAGAGACAAACATGGCCGACTTATGAACATTGAAATTAAACAACTGTTCCATCCTGTCATCATCATTGCTCTAAAACATTTCAGGATTCTTACCGACATTTCATTAATGGAAGGTGTTCTCAACTCATCATAAAAATGTATTTTCTTGTCATTGAATGTTTTTATTCACAATGATATTTCAAACTAATATTTCAAACATAAAAACATAGAAAAATGAAGACTATCAAAATAGTGGCAGGTGAACTTTTTTAGACTTAAATATTATTTTACCAAAATAATTTAAATTGTTAATGAAAGTATTACAAAATAGGACTCAAAGTATTTTAGAGCATTGCAAATGCTGGTGGTCTTTGGTTGACCTAATATCTTACATGTTATGTGAAGAAATGCAGCCTCGTCTACTGAGGGAACATTCCTGCCAAGCTGAATTACATAACAGAGGTCATGCCATGTGCACCTCAGAACAAGTCTGGAGCTGGAGATCTCACTCAGACACAAAGAATTCCTGTCATCAGCACGTTCTGTGGAGTATAAAAATCAATCTATTGACTTTTGTCTTTTTCATATGGTATGATTTTATATGCTTTTCGTCTCTCTCATCTTCTGCCATCGTTTCTCTTTTCCTGCTGTTGTGTGTTGAAATGTCTCCATCTGTAGATGTTATCAGCCAACAGGCCTGTCGCTGTTTGCAAAAAAGCCACACATGGACATAGTCTGTCTCAGCTTTCAGGCAGCGCCATTTAGACGCTGACAACACTTTTATTAATTTGTATTATTTTAACCTGTAAAAATCACAGCCGACAGCACACACGCACAGGTAATAACACAGTCTACTGCAATCAACCATATTCAATACACTGATAAATCGTGAAATTAAATTTGTTTTTATGTACAAAAACTGGATTTAAAGTACAATTCAAAAGGGAAACAAACCTCAAATCAAACTTCAGTGATGCTGAGTAATTCAGTCCATATACAGAAACACACACACACACACACACACACACACACACACACACACACACACACACACACACACAAAGCTTAGTGAGTCAGGGGGTCGGTATAACAGGGTTAAATAGGCTAATCCTCAACTGTTGATAAGACTGTTAGCAACGCATGTACTTAAACTTAATTTTGTGTGTGTCTGTATACATCAAATAGATGTGCACATGTGTGTGTATGTGTGTGTGTGTGTGTACTGTGTACTGCCTGTGTGACTTTCATTATAGTCACACACACAGGTGTTTTTTCACCTAAGGCCAGTTCAGCCTCAGTGGATCTGGGTAAAGCCCTTCAGACGGAAAGAAATTCTTAGGCTTAGAGCTTTGAGAAATTTCCAAAGGAAAAAAACAACGAGGGACAGAGCACCTTATTGAACTCCTGGGCTACTTCATGAAGGTTCCTTACAGTTATTCCATCTACAGCAAGACGAATCATTTCCTTTTTTCCCCCCATGTGGCTGTTTGCCTACCTCCATGTCTTTCACTTTTTGTGTTTTTTTCTGTACCCGTCTTTTCCTCTGTACCCGTCTTTTTCTCTTAGAACCATGTTATGAATTTTACCCCTCAGTAAGCTACTGTGAATAGCAATAGTTGATCTGCAGGTGACTCCTCCATTCCTCAGCACTGCCGCTTCTCCCTCCATCAAGGTCTCCATTGTCTCAGGCGGTTAGATCAGAGGGAATATTAGCCTCTCTTTTCAAGTCTCTCTACAAGGCCAATCTGTCTGTTCCTTCCTCCACACTCTCACTCTATCTCTCCTCTCTTCCCTGAATGAAAGGCCCTCTAAGTTAAACATATTCTTAAGTCCAATTTAAATAATTTAACATAATAGCACCTAGTACTGTAAGTGTTTTTAGCTGACAGGTCTCAGCAGAGTTCCTGTAAAATAACTCCTAGATGAGATCAGCAGTCTCACAGCAGAAGGAAGGAGAGAAAAAAAAGACCATTGAACTACTTTTTAGCTGGTGGTGAGCCATGAATCCTGAAACATAAACACCTCAACACCCAAATACAGACAGAGGAGACCAGTGTGAGTGTGAAAACTGTGTGTGTGTGTAACATACTGAGTGAATTCTGTTATGTATGTGGACGGGCACAAACCCCCACACTCTTAAAAACACACACTGCAGTGTTTTTATAGTATCCTCCAGTGTATTCGTTTGATGTGAAGTCCTTGACTGCAATGTGACAGTAATGATTGGCAAGCAACAGGTGTGGAGGCGTTTAATAGTATCCAGACTTCTCTTAGACGTGTGTGCACATAAGCACATGTTTTTTTTTACCTCTCTTTTTTAACCCAAAATATGTATTTTATGTTGTTTCTTTTCTGTGCTTCACTGTGGCTATATTATGTTGACATTTAAGCAGAGGTTTGTGTGCAGTTGTAGAAAACGAATGCTGGTTGAAAAAGTACACCAATAATCATGGGCCCTCACCCTTTCTACCAGCTCACAGAGGAAGCCAAGCATGAAAAGTGGCCTTTTTTTACATAAATCCTTGATCTGCAGTGATAAGCTCTGCAAAAGTACAAAGGCTAGAAAGCTGCTTGCTAATGCTGCAGACAGAGCTGCTTGTCTAGTGACATGGACAACCTGGAATTCCTCATGCTCCTCAGTGTGTGCTATATGAATTGATATGGTCCTATACTGATACAAAGATAAGATACAATATGCATTAGTGTTAACATGGGAGCATGTTTTGGGTTATAAAAGGTATGGCACTACATGAAAACTGAGCATATGATACACATTATGAGGGCTCACAGTATACAGATGTATTTTCCGTGTAACAAATATATTTGTTGAAAGAAGGTGTCGCCCATACAGTATGTTATATCTTTCTGCAAAAATAAGTTGTATTGCTTCCTGTTGCAAGAAGATAGCGTTCAGTGTTTCTATCAGTTTACAAAAAAAAAACAATGTCTGCTTGTGCCAAGGACAGCCCTGAAAATGTTTTCACAAAAAGCAGATAAAGAGAGAAATAGAGATGTGTTGCAGTTTAGTAACCTACAGTAAAAGTAAAAAAAGAAAAAACATTTGAACAGACAAGGATGGATCCACAAGTTTCTTCGTTTTGGAGAAATTAAATAAGAAAATTGAGCTTAATTTCTCGCGTGCAGAATAACTAACTGTAGCTATAGTCTCTCTGACTGATAGTACAACTCGTGTAGTGTTCCCACTACTGTGTATGCACTGGTAGACTCATTGTATATTTTTCTTTTAGTACAGATTATAGACAGGTTTTTCATTCACTGAGACTTGATAGAAATAAGATAATTCTCCTTTCCACTTTGCTTTAAATGAGTGCTTTGCTAAATCATTGAGAAAGTCAGCACCATCACTTAAATCAGAAGCTGTCACCTGTGAGCGTCACTTGGACTGTTAAACATCTTGAAATTACCTCCTGTACTGTAAAAAAAACTATGTCACTATGACACCCAGCCACCACCATCGAACTGTGTCATCCCCACAACCACCGCCGTCCTCATTCATGCACGGCCTTCTCCGACTCCACCTCCGCGGCAAGGAAGTGTGGACAACAGAAACGCAAGGAATACGAAGGAGAAATCCTTCCTGCGTCCTATCCCATATGCTCTTTTGTAAAGCGTCTAGAGATCAAACTTGTTGTGAATTGGAGCTATACAAATAATGATTGATTGATTGATTGATTGATTGATTGATTGATTGATTGATTGATGAGACATTAAATATAGCTGTTTTTTTAACCATTACAATTGTGTTTGTAGGCGGAGATGTGGTACAAGATGTGGCAGGAGAGCCATCAGGGAAACATTGGCAGCAGGGCGGAGACCCCACTACAACATCCAAGAGGATCCTTTCTCCCAGACCCGCCTGCAGTCAAAGAGCTGCTGAGAGCAGAGGTCAAGATGTTACTGCAGACTCTCAGTGAGAGGGCTGGCAAGGAGGGAATGTAGGTGCACGTAAATTAACTCTACTGCACATTATCGGTGAATTATTTAAAAGGCTGTGTTTATGACCTCTAGACATTCTGGCCAAAAACATTACAACATAAAAGGCATGAGGTTTCTCAAAAACAAACATTATAAATAACTGACAGTGCTGGGAATAGATAATAAGAAACAATTTACAGGAATATTTTTATATTTACTGCCATATTGGAATGTTTAACCACAGTGAAAATAAATTCCTGAAAGACCTATAACACATACCAACTATCTTCTGTTTCTCATAATAACACACTGAGCAGCTGGTAAAACAATGTGTAGAACACTGTGGGGTTGAATATGTTATCATGGTGGAAAGGTCCCTTTTTAAAACATGTGTCCATATTGTGTTTCGTTTTGTTTTTGCACTGGCTTCTTCTATACTATTTAACCGATTCCTTTAAGGTCTTAAAGTTTAAAATCTTTGAACATTTCAGAGGGGCCTGGTGTGTCACTGTCCAACTTTTCAGGCAGCTTTTGCAAGGGGAAACGTGTCGACCTGGTAAACAAGAAAAATGGAAGGAGAGGCCCTGACCTCAAACAGCATCCACATGTTGTTGCTTATTGCAAAATGAACAAAGTAAAAAAAAAAAAGACATAGAAAATATAAAATATCAATTATGCAAGTTTATCAAATGCTAAGGTTTATACCCTTCTGTTATATAGCAGTACTTGTCAAGGTGGTGTGTTCATAGAAACAAATCCCACATGCACATGTTTTATTTCTCTCACTAAATATATTTCTGTACAAGTGCATCATCTTGGTGTTCCCCACCTACCTGCCAGTTCTTACACTATAAAATACACTAAATGTATACTATGGCTCAAGAAATATCTCTTAATCTACAATATTAAAATAATTGATGGCATTGAAGCATATCAAGCATCTTTAGTTTCCTGTCCTACTCTATTGCAGCTTACACTTCTTTTAAAGCTTAACAGAATTGATTAGTCCATGGGCTCCTAGATTCACTTCTTCAACATTCTGTTTAAACTAAAACTCAATTCATATTTGTGATGACTACATGCTTTATATATCAGTTTAGTGTAAGATATAGTACGAGCTTTGCATGATTTGAATCCGTAATATTAAAGAATACACAATTTATTCTACTCTTGCTTTAAATGATAGCTTAGCAGATAGCAGCTTAGCAAAATGTGGGGCAGAACACAATTTCTATCTTGATCTACTTTGTTAGTTAGATTGTTTTTCTATCAAGAGAAGCAACACATAAAGTAGGTATGGGAAAGTATAGGTCAAGACCCTTCTCTCTCACTCCCTGCGTCATTTCTTCCCCTGACAAAGAGTGCCATAAAACACTATATTGTGCTCACATGTCACTTACAAATGGGATGGGAGGAAGGGGAACAAAGGTTTTTGGGGTAGGGAAGTTGCAAACTGGTTTGCAAATGTGCAACAATAGGACAATTAAAGGAGGGAGACTTCCACACATTCCACGGCAAATTCCATCCAACACTGGCCTGGATTTTAAAGGCCCCATCATTCCTAGCTTAATCTGATGAAATGTTTGTTTTTGTTTTGTTTTTAAAATAGGTAATAGTCACTTTAATCGGGCTGGTTGTTTGCTTGTGTTCTTGAGTAACTTTGACCTTAATCAGTCAGTTACTTGTCTAAAGCAAGAACACATAAAGCTTGGTTCTCTGTTTTCATGAGGCACAGTCTTCAGGGAGTTATATGCTCCTCTTTAAGAGGTTCTATTTTATAAATGCTTTTGAGTTTCAATTTTTACAATTAATCTTCTGACTCAGGCCAGCAATGAGCTTGTAGCAACGGCCAAGTGAATGATATTAAGATGTCATATAAACAGTTTGAAGGATGCTATAATTATTAGTAAGACTTTGATAATACATTATACTTTAAAATAGCCGTTTATTTGTGATGATGTACAGGCATGTGAGTGTGTGAGAGCCACAGTAAGTGTGAGCCTGTAACTATCCTAGCAACAAGCTCGCTGCTGCCAGGAATGCTGCCCCGTGTCACCTCACAGATTTAGCTCAGGCCTTTTAGGAAAAGCACAACGTAAGATGGATTGTTCTGCATTTCTGTGACAAACTTTTTATTGCCTGTCAGTTTGTCAACATCCTTTTGACTGTGTTTTTCTTTTTATCTGCGTCCATGTTTGTGCTTGGTCAGCATGGTCTTGTTTTTGTAGTTGTTAATTTCATTATTCTAAATCCTCTCTTAGCAGCCACATATATAGACAGAATGAACCGCTTCTACATTTTTTCCCCAAAAAACTCAATCAGTGAATTTTATGATAGCTCCTTTGATCCATTCCATCCCATTCCCAAAATAAAATAACGCTAACTTATTACTAAGTGGAAGCAAGTCAGTTTTATTCAATGAAGATGTCCTAACCTTAAATCAGAATCCACACCAAAAAAAACAATAATACCTTTGTTAAACTGTGATGTCACTGATGATGCAGATTTTCACTTTCTACTCGCTTTAGCTGCTGGAATGCCATACTGAGATGTAAGAGTCTATGCCAGCCTCTCTACCAGACTCTACTTACAGTCAGCATTATAACTACATTCTTCTACATACTTATATGTATGTATGTTTGCATGTATGAGTATTTTATTTAGCCATTAAACATATAGCCTACAATCATTTTATACAATACAGATAGTTCAAACAAGGTCAACAGTTCGTCGACAAGTAATTCGAATCAATCAAATTGATTTCTTCCAATGGTTTTTAAAACAATTCACTTAAAACCAGAAAAATGACCCTTGTGATGGTGCAACATTGGAAGTAAAATTCACTTGGAAACATGGCTTTCTGTACTGTCAATCAATAAATCTCAACCTTTATTTGTATGGCGCTAATTCACAAAAAAAGTTATCTCAAGACACTTTACGAACAGAGCAGGTCTATAGACCTTACTCTTTGTTATACTATTTACAGAGAACAGAAATGAATCCACCATGAGCACAGCACTATGTAACATTTAGCAAAGTTACAGTGGCAGGAAAAAACTGCCTTTAACAGGCAGAAACCTCAAGCAGAATGCAGAACTCCCAAAACTTCAAGAAATCCATCCAGTATAATTGTTTGATTATTAAGCAAGGATTAAAGTGGGGATACATCCCCTGACCGACAGCGCAGGAGATGGTTTGTTCTCACAATGGGCGCAAACAGTTGTTATAATTCTCAGTGTGGTCCACTGACTTGCGAAAAAATGATTCATCCGTCAAAAGAAATACAAAATGTATAATGTCACCTCTGGTGCTTGTTTTAACTGCCAAGTGGACAGGGATTTATTCTGAAGAGTATCTTGTAAATTGGGATGACAGTTAGGCCCAAGGTTTCAGCTTCCAATATCCAAAAGAGCCACAGGTCTGATGCCCCAACAGCACCGTGTCTTATTAAAGTGTCACTGAGCAAGACATGAACTGATGCCTTACTTGCTCACACATCAAGTCACTCTTGTAGAGTGCTCCGGCTAGGATTATAAAAAGCCCAATTCAGAGGGAGAAATACAGCCTATTGTTGTCTGCTGAAAAATGACCAACAAGTATTGGTGGCACACAAAACAGTGCCAGCACAAATCTCTTTTCCTCTTTGAAGTTGGCTTTAGTATACTTGTTAACCTTAATGCACAATGTGTGTGTGTGTGTGTGTGTGTGTGTGTGTGTGTGTGTGTGTGTGTGTGTGTGTGTGTGTGTGTGTGTGTGTGTGTGTGTGTGTGTGTGTGTGTGTTATAGGCCTTTGATCATTCAATTAGGATAAGTCCCAAGTGTAAAGCAGCTGAATGGCTTTAGAAATAAAGCACACACAATGTTTCCTTAATAACACTTCCACTCAATAATGCTCTACAACCCTTTGTTTGCTATCTTGGTTCAATTAATTATGCTTTGTTGGCATAGAAATAGAGAACATATTTCCAAAGAATCACGATAGAGATTATCCCCTTTTCTCTCTTTATCATACACTTGCTGGGAATTGTGTGTGTTTTTAGTAAGCTAATTTACCAGGCATGATAGCCAAGAGCACCCTTCTGTCTTCACAGCAAAGTTCTCACTGACTTAATTGCTTAAAGACACACAAAGAGTAAAAGTAGCTCTTACCCCAAGCATTTGTATGTGGGAATGAGGGTGTGTGAGTGGGTGTGTACCTTGTAAAAGTCAACTGATTTTTATATTGGCCTCCTCCTGTGTGGTCCTGATGCGCACGCCTTTACCCCCCTCCACACACACACACACACACACACACACACACACACACACACACACACACACACACGTGCACACACACAGCTCCATTTAATTGTCTGAATGGCTGGAACGAGTACTTTTCTCCTCAAGCCAAGATAACATTAAGAACAGACCACAATGTCACACCACCTGCTGCTGCCTACACCATCTGTCTGCTCCTTTTTCTCCAAAGGATCATTCAGAAAATATAATGTTCCTGCTGCTTATCTTGGCCTTTCTGGAATCACTATTGCATATTGTAAAATGAGCCCAGCTCTAATAATAGAGTCCTAGTAAGTGCACACTTTGTACAGCCTTTTTGCATACACCACCAGATATGTCTGCATAAAATAATGCAAATAATTTTTTCAAAAAGCCACAAAAAATAAAAATAAAAATCAAGAAACCAAAAATAAATAAATGAATAGATTAAATTACTTAGAATCTAAAGCAAAACTGAAGAAGCAGATTTTAGGCTTATGTTTAGAGATATTCATTCATATTCCACCACAGCTTAAGACTTATATATAGCAGCACTGGCAGGGCTTTTGAAGCAATAAACTAACTTGTGTAAAGATACTTTCCTTGTCTTCACTGTTGTTGCCATAGAGACGATGAAGAGCTCTTGTTTCGGTACAAACCTGAGACAGTGGACTACGCCCTGGGTCACCTTAACAGCTGTCAAACACTCTGTATCGACTCTGCAGATTCTGATTGTGGAAGCAGGTAAGTAACCCAAACACTGATCTTGTATATTTTGATGAGGTGCTGAATGGTGCAGTGCTTTTAGTAATGCACATAATCTTTATCTCTTTCACTTAACTTCTTACAAAATTCACCCCCTCTCTTTCAGACCGAGCTCTCATTGTTCGGTCCGGTCCAGTGCTGCTGATGAGGTCCAGTCCATGAGAGACAAGCTGAATGTCACTGACATTGACCAAGTGGTGGATCGACTCAGGTAGGTCAAATCAAGTCAAAGAAATACTTCCCAAACTATATTTTGATGAAGAATTAGCAAAGTCTTATTATCAATAAGACTTTAAGTGTGGCCTATGAGTTTGTCCATCACTACATTTAACCCTCTTAATGAAAGCTATATCTGCCTGCAGCCTGTACATTCATACATTATGTGACATCCAAGTATCTTGTTTGAAATAAGAACAACAGACATGCTTAACAAACATTGTTTTGATACAAAAAAAACATGGAGAAATCCTTGCTTTATTGTGGTGAAATTCCTTAAAAAACAAAGTATCAACAGCATAAACAGTGTGTGCAGAATGGGTAAACAACACATGAAACTGGTACATTACAACAAGCAAGGTTTCATTTTCTGTTTGTACCACTAGAAGAGACAAATCACATTTGGTATCAATTAGTTTGGTGTAAATTTTGTTCTATGTCTTATTGTAATTCATGCTTGTTCTTCAAGTCTGGAAGTGAGTTTCTCTCTTCTTTAATTTCCTCTCTCCTTGGCTGCTTCTGTTTCTGCCGTGCCTCCTTCACCCTCCATCCCTCCTTTCCTTCCTTCATCCCTCATTCTTTGAGGCCCACAGGGCAGTACAGTCACTGGAGCCACCTCTCTTTCTCTCTCCCCCCCCTCTCTTTTTGCGCCTGCTCTCGCCCATTTCCTGACTGGACCAGAACAAAAGGCTCCATTGTCAGAAAAAAATGGATCTCAGGGCAGGCAGAAGTTTCCTTTTTCCCTTTTAAATAAGTGAAGAAAGTCAAGTTTGGTTATGTAACCGGAGGAGCAGAAAGTAAACGTGGGGGCAGAAAGAAAGATAAATAGGACACTGTATCCTCAGTATGAAAACTGCAAAGGATAGACTCATAGCAGACACCGAGTGCACCTCTATTGATGACGGTGACTTACTGTATAATATTGAGTTTGCTCATCAATCTGCTACATTGTTTCTGACAAACATGTAACCACTGAAAATCCCAAAACATTAAAACGTCACATCAGACTGTTTCATTTAATGTTAAATATGTTGATTCATTTGAACTATTTCCATTAACTACTTTTCCGCACATTGTATTTTTGGTTCACTGCATCTGATACTAAACCATACACTTACTTTTTTCATGTTTCATTATATCTCTCCATTATATTTGATATCTGTCTGGTTTCTCTTTCTATCTGGCCATTTATTTTCTGTCTCTCTGTTCTTCCAGGTCTGTCCTAATGGAGGAGTGTGGAGAGTTGAAAAGACTGGTAAAGTATTTGAAGGTAAGAAGAACATGATAGAAAACGTTTAAGAAAATGCTAACAAAATTTTTAATCTTCATTCGATCAAAAAAAAAAAAAAAAACGTTGTTAGCATCCTCTGATTTGTGTTGTTGAGTTTCACATGAAATCTGGATAGTCTTTCCATTTTATTGTAAATGCACAGTAGGATATTTTACCCCTTAATCTGTATTGTATCCTAATACTTATAAGTCTCTTAACATTGAAAATCCATACTGGACATTACTCGAGTTAGTACTGTACTGTAAAGTCATTGTCATTCTAGTTTTCATTGCATTCATCACATACCACTAAAGGAGAGATTGAACCTGACTTAAGCCTAGTTTTGTAAACACAAAAACACTCAGCCTGACTTAATGTTTGATGAAATTTTATAAGAATATTCCAATTTCATTAAAATATATTCCAGTTGTTAGATGCCATCATATCTTTTTTACTTAAAACCTGTTAATGATGTATCAAACACAATGCAGATTATATCAATTCCAGAAAGATATTGACTTTCTTAACCAGGGGCAGTCTTCTAATTTTTCTGAAGTTTGAATTTGAAAAGATGGACTTCCTCAGTTAGAAATATTTTTGCACACGACTTTGCACAGGTTTGAGTTTACATTTACAAACACATACACGCATACAAACAGAGGCTTGCACAAGAAACCTGCACAGGCTCTGTCTAAGCCTGTTTTGTTTTCCTTCTGTCTGGCCAAAAGCTCTGCAGTGCTGCGAAAAATCGATCTGCTCTCAATCACTCCAATTACTTTCTAAATGCTTACACAAACACACACATTGACCAACAAACGTGCATGCATGCTCTGCTACACTGATTTCCTTGTCTGGCATTGTGAGAGTGAGTTAGTTAGAACCCAGATGTAGGGTTTCGCTGCAGACCAGATGTGTAACTTATCTCTCTCGATCCCTGTGTGTACTTGTGTGTGTGTGTTCATGTCTTCCTGGAAATGTTTCACTGCCAGTTTTTCTGGAAACAAGACAAGTTGAAAAATAGGACAACTGTATCGAGGGATAAAATGCTGATTGTTTAAGACTCTTGAAGTTTATGTGCTTCAGATGTTCGTTAAAAACCCAAAGGGAAAATGGTGTGTGACCCTTTCCTTTTATTTATTTTTTTACTTTTATTTTACCAGGTAGTCTCATTGACATTTTGTAATCTCTTTTTCAAGAGAGACTTAGGTACATCAGTGGCAATATAAATAAATAATAAAAAAACATTGAAGTAACAGATATCAAAACACAAAGTAGATGCATAGCCAATACACACTGTTAAAATAATTAGAATAGTAAAGAGAAGATGCCTTTGCAAAATGAAATCAAACAGCCAGGGAATTGTTCCTGCAAGACTCCATCAGGATTAGTGAAGTATAACAGAGGCCGAGAGGATGGCATAAACATTATGTCTGTTTTTTGAGTCTTAAAGACCCATAGGTGTGAAGTTTATTGTATAGAGTCATCCCCTTGTCGAGTCTTGTAGAGGCAGTCAATGTTGTACTTAAGAGAACCTGGGGCAAAGCAGAAATGTGCCTGTGAAGAAACCTCCTCAAGTGAAGGGTTGCTGCCTGGAATGTGAGCAGGTGGGATGAAGCTGTGGCTTTAAATGTGCTGTGCCCTTCGAGCATGAGATTACTGTGCATTCTCATTTATTTGCTGCTGTAGGGGATGATGTTAATGCTGTGCTGTGCAAAGCATCACTGGCCATGATAACTTACCATCGCTGCGAGGATGGATACTGATATCAGCCCTTAGGATCTCCTGTGTGAGTTTTAGTGTATTCTGTAAACACAGAAGGTTTTATGGTGTCAGTTGAATGTTTTATTAAGCCTTGTCCAGTTAAACAATCATGCAGGAACATACCAATAAGGATGCTTAGTAAATGAAAACCTAACAGCCTTGGTTTGTATGTCTAGCATTTTTCTAAATTAAATGTATATACTGAAAGAGAAATCTTAACCGTCCTGAATCCTAAATTTGAGGATTTTAGTCAGCCTAAAGAATATGCAGGAAACATTTAAACCTTCCAACTCAGATGACTTGTTTTACTTTATGATCATGAATATCTGTGTTGTGTTTCATGGCCTGCTGTAATTAGGAATGTGTCAAAGAAAATGGGATGAAAAAACATCTTCAGTGTCACATCTGACTCTATATTTTTTTTCCTGTGACCATTAATATAGCCAAGCTAGTGTAAGTGCCCTCTCCAGGATTGTCATGAGTTCATCAACATTGCACCAAGCAGTTTTTTGTATAGTTTTTATGCATTTGGAGGATCGATACAGTATGACCAAATTTCTATTTAATGCAATGTGTAACAGCTAATCAGACTTTGATCCCAAACACCCATCTGAAACAACCCATTTTCTCTTAGCTGGAGTGAACTTTACACTACATCATGTCCAACAGCAGTCCAGGAGTAACTTTCTGAAACATACAATACAGGCTCGATGTGTTGAATGTAAAAAAAAAAAACATTTGAGGAAATTATAGTGTCTCATCATCCTCAAGAAGTGGAAACTGTGAGGAAATCCTTCTTCAAATATCCTCCCCTCTAAAGCATTGGCTGCACATTTTACACAATCATTCTCTAGTTAATAACTGAACATTTTCCAATTAGTTTGGCCAGAAGTCTATATCTGCTGGGGAGTGTTATCAAATTCACTGCAAAAAACTCAAATCTAAACAGTCATGTTTGTCTATCTAAATAGTGAGCAGTACATAAGATAAGATGAGCCTGCATTGCTTGTAACAAGTAAAAAATATATGCTTTTACTGAAGTAAAGTCTTGAAAAGCGACGTACTATTTATAGTTAGTATATCTTATTTCAAGACACTCAAAAAGTCAAATGTGCTTGCCTCATTAACAGATATTTTTACTTATTACAATCAATGCAGGCCTTGCTTTGACATTAGTGCAAGAGCTAAAAGAAGTGGGACTAGATGTTTCTGACCAATAATTAGATGAATACACTTGCTTGGATTCGATTTTTTGCAGTTTATTTTTCTGAGGTATTTTCTGTAACTGAAGTTTTAATTTGGGGACCTGTTTACATTTTTTGTAGCAATGAGTTGGTGTTGTAGGTAGGTTGGTTAGAGTTGCCATTTTTGTTTCTTTAGCCAATAATAGGGCACTAAGTGGGGCTTTTGTCCCTCAAGGCTTCCTGTATGCTCTCAGAGCAACTTGACGATAGGCGATGGGCCATGTCTGCACGCTGCAAGAGACAGAGGATTCCTTTTCCCTCAGTTGGTGATAAAAATCATTTTATGGGCTCTGTCAGTGTTTTAGTGGTCTGAATTGGGGAGAGTTGATGTGATGGCGAATAAGTGAAAATGTAGATGATTATGTTTCCCAAGAGCTCAGAGCATGACCCCTGACCTGTATCTGTCCATACTGACTTAAATAGATAATCCATCATATTGTTGTAATCATGGGAGCAGCTGAAGAAACCTACTTGTGGTAGATTTTCCTTCAGGATGTTGAAGTTATTTACTGGTAGACATACTAGAACAAGTTTGGCCAACATCTTCCCAGTATACATCAGAACCATCACCTCAGATAATGAAAGGTGGCAGCCATAAAAAGCCAGATGCAGTTAGATTCTGAGGCAGGAATGATGATCCTTGTTCTCCTGTTTGTGTGTCTGCATCAGCTCAGGGGAGAGGAGGATTTGGGTTTCAGAGTTTCATGTATGAGAATAATAACAGTAACACACAGTACCAGCTTTTCCCTAAAATACCAGAAAGTCAGCACCATGGTAATGGGTTCAAACCCAACTAAGACCACAAAGCCTATTTTTGGAGTGTGTATATGTGTATATGCACAGCCTTCAGCGTTGTTTTGGATTTCAGCCACATTACTGTCAGAGGCACCGCAGAAACTCCGTCTGCAGTCCAGAAAGAAAACACTGCAAGGTTTGGGTTTGAATCCCACCGAGAAAAAGGACCAAAAAAACATTTTAACTGTCAGTCTTCAGGCATCTGTGTGTACAGTATTTATGTATGTGTACTTGTGCATGTGTGTGTTTTTAGAACATGGATGCTTTAAAAACTATAAGTGTGTATGCTGATGTTAAATTAGTAGTCACTCATAACTAACAAACTTTTAAATCAGGCCTTTGGTTTAGTAAGTGATACGCACCCTCATACACAGCGCTATGGTTTCATGTGCTCTGTATAAGGATATTTGAGGCCAAATCATGATGGAACACTTCTGCTCAGTCGTTTAGTGGTCAACACTCACATTCTTCTCCTCTTTTCTCCTGTTGTGAATTTTATCCCTTTTCCTTGTTCCTTTGCTTTTTCTAAAGACTCCGGCTTTTTTGAACATGTTGTATACATTTATCTTCTGTTATTTCTCCACTTACTGTCACAAATGACAGCTGGATGTGTTTTTCTATGACATTATTATATCAAGTGCATGAATCAAAATTGATGCTTCTTTTACCTAGCCTGTTTTTTTTTCTCTCACAGGGAAATATTAAACAAAAATGTCGGAGTCAATTAGAGAAACCTGAACCTACACTTGCAGGTAAATCCATGAAACAACGTTTTGGTATTTGCTGCCACCTGGTGTCACAGTATTGCTTAACACTTGATGGGTCATTGCTTTATTTCGTACTATCCATTTCAGCTTTATTTCTGTGATACATTTCCAGCTGAAATGGTGATGATGAAAATATCGCCCACCTACATTAGCTGGAAAAACATTTTTATGAATAAAAAAAAGGACAAATTAAGCACTTCAGCCAAATCTATCCACTCTGGGCCAAATGTTGGAGAAACTAATTCGAGTCCATCAATAGAGAGTCGTTTGAGCAAAACCAACATTAAGCGAGTGCTTTCTTGTGCACTTGGTGATTGTTGTCTTTTGATGGCTTTTTGTGCTCAATTATCCAACAGCAAGTTTCAAGGACACGTCTGAGACTTTTTTCAAATCTCAATACCATATCATTTGTGTGTGCGTAGAGCTGAGAGAGCTAAGAGGAGCTGTACAAATGGACTTGGAGCTCTTCCCTACTTCTCTGACTGTTTCACCTTCAAGATCCTCGCCTCTGCCTTTGAAGGGTTTGAAAAACACCTCCAGGTTTGAACCTTTTACTCTTTTGACTCCCAAAAAGACACATTTTTAAAAGATGGGAATATAATTATTTACAGATGGAAGAGAAGAATACAAATGTATTGGATTTGTATTTAGATTTTATAGTTTGTTCTGTGTCAAATCTGTTAACATGGGAGAGATGGAGCTTATAAAGAGAACTGCAACTAGTCCATAGGGGGACCTCCAAATACTTTTTTTTTTCACTTAAGCAGTGCTCAAGTGTCCACACAGAAACACTCACTGCTGATACATAAAGAAGCTGCTTTAAAAAAATTTAATCTGTTTCTTTTTCCTTTCAAGCTTTCTCAGACTAAGTCAATGCTACTAATAATGTAATAATGTTTTTACTGCACATCTTTTTGTTGTCTTCTTGTAAGAAAATGTTCCTTGATCTTATTGCTTTTTTTTCCCCTTTAGGCTGACTGCAGGACAAAAGGTTTCTGATGAGACTCCACTTGATTTAGGCAGCAGAGCGTCCCTAAGACCACATCCACCTCCTCTGCAGTGCCAGACCAAACCCAAGCCACCGCTCAGAGCTTCTTCTAGCAAGACATCTGCATCAGTTAAAGTCATTAATAGTCCTTCACCATCGAGGACTCAGGGGCAGCTCAAAAGCACGTTAGCCTCCTCTGGACGTAGAAAAATTCAAATACCTATCTGCACAAGGATCTCTACTTCTGGGCATGAGGACAGCCACAGCAACACTTCACTTCCAGGGCCTGGCAGGAACCAGATAATGGATCAGACCAGATGTGACGACCACAGTGTTTCTCTCTTTACATCAAGTCCTGGTTTGCACATAGAAACATCAAAAAACTCACCCATCCCTGACACTCATCAGTCATCCCATTACAGGATTCATAGCACCAGCTTAGAATGTGATTCATCACCACACAGAGAGAGAAGAAGTCCTTCCTGGAGGAGCAATTGTACTGACCATTCAGTGCCAACCACAGGGAGCACAAAGACAAAAAATAAGGGACAGACTAAAACCTGTGGAGGTGGTATAGTGTCAGCAACAGTGAAGACGAGCAACATTCATTCTAGTAACTGTCATCCACAGACTGGCCCCAGAGAAAGCAACAACAGTATGGACAGAAATAGAAATGGTGTTTTGAGAGGGGACACCACCAGGCCAGGACCTAAACAGTTAAATAAACAATACTTCACTTCCCATAAAATACCACCTGAGGGAACCACAAGTCAGCAGAAAAAAGTCCAAGAGGCAAAGAGGGAGCTGGAGTTTATTGGCAAGTTACACCAGCCGGTCCCTCCTCCAAGAGTGCCAACTTGAAGTCAGACACTGACTAGATAAAAACAAGAAGATAGTCTGTAAGGCTTGTTGCAGAGAGATACAAGTGAGGTTCGTGCTTCACTTTTTTGTGTCAAAAACAAAACAATGAAAAGAAAGGGAATAATGTCAAAGCTGTGTTTGGTCATTGTGTTGTTGTTTTTTTGCACTGAAACATTTCACAGTCGCAACTCTGCTTCAAAATGTGTGTTGTGAGAAAAAGACCTTTATGTTACAGAAGGTGTTGCATTTGATTGAACAAATACTTGATAGTGACAAAATTTAAATAAATGCTGTACTTCTCTTTCCATCAGTCAAAAAAAATAAAATACTGTGTTGACTACCAAAATAGAATATTAAATATATCACTGTGCAAGTCACTCAAACATTGTCAGTAAGACAGACCTTGAACATCTTTAACAACGTTAGGGTAGACTTTCTGTGATAATAAAAGTCATGGAGTTGTTTGTACCCTGCTACTAATAGATGCACAAAAAAATAGTAGTCAGGGAAGTTTCAATCAGTATCAATACACCCACACTTCTAATAGGAGGTAATCATCATCAGATAATCTAAAGTAAGCTGTAGTTCAGCTGTGCAATAGGTGTGTATGTTGCGGTTGTGTGCTCTACTCTCTTGGGTTGTGTGATGAATCAGACATAAACTTTCACTTTTGGCCCCAGCACGCCTGTTTATTCTGATAACAAAAGAAGCATAAGGTCTCTCACAGCCAATCTTGCATTAATAAGCTCCAACATACAATATAGAAACAAATAATTGAGCTAACTGTTGTTAAGCAACCTACACACGAGTAGGCTACATTTTTAGGGGAGCTTAGTGTGAATATGGGTTAAGTTTGTGTTTTAAGCAAACTCATATCAAAGATGTAGGTATGTTTCAGGTACAGCTGAAAGAGTAACATTTAAAGACATATATAAAAAAATTGTAGATGGCAAATACATATACCATGACTTAAACTTCAGGGTTATGACCTCAAATTGATAAGGATTTTATCACGTGACTGACTTTGGATGCTCTCTTCTCTCTCGAATCATAGCCTAAGACATATGTTTAGATTTATAGATGTGGTTATGCAAGACAGATTTTTGTCACAGTGAAAACCCTGTACCTCTAATATGGCCAAAATTGGACGTATTCTAATTTTTCTGGACAAATAAAACCATATTCTCTGTGTCTTATAAAATCAAAGCGATAAAAGCCGTTTTTATTGTGTACAATGAATAATAAGCAAATTAACACAGCGTCCATCGAATTAGGCCTATACTTCTGCATTTCTGCAACAGATTTCTTAAACTTTTTAGGCTGGGTTTGCGTTCCTTATATGGTTGCCTGTGACATTTTCTTTTCGTTTTCAGGCAAATTCTCAAGTAAATCGAAAGCGAAAGTTAACGGAGTTTTAATGTCATAAGATCGCTGACAATTGCCAAGGTAAGATCGTTCCCTTTACTCTGTCAACTTTTAACTATGGATTAGTTTGCACTTCATCGTCAGAACTCCAAACTCCAAGAAAAGTGAACTTATCCCACAGTACCTTAATAGTCTTTTTGGCAAGGTTGCTGTAAAGTTTGTGTTTTTAAAAAAATCGGTACTTTTTTTGCTTTCACTTAGGCTACATGGGCCTAATTTGAAAATACGTTTTGGTTGATAAAGAAAATAGCACTATCTTTATTAATCCCTGATTTCATATAGCCTATTACCAACCGACGTGATAATAGAAATTGATATAGGGCTACTTGTGCGCATAACTGTATTTTTTCATTTATTTATTTAGTTATTTATCATTTTTCTGAGTGTGTTAACATTGTAAAATAAGAAGATCATGCATAGACTATAGGCCACTGTAAAGAGCATTTGCATATTACTATAGTCATAAACCTCAGAAGAATGATTCTGGTTAGCACGCTTATATGAGCACGTCACTAAAGTTCTAAAGACTTTGTACTCATGTTGGCCATTTTTGTTTAAATAGGCCTATCTGTTTTTTTCCCACCATGTCTTAGATATTGTAGAGCTACACTCACTGTTGTATTTAAGTAAGGAAAATGGGCTTGCTACATTTGATAAAGCAAAACAAACGTATGTTTTAACACTTCCTTGTCTTCATCACTCCTTAAAAGACACATATTTAAGACAGCCATTTATAATCAAATCAGAACATTTGCACTGCACAATTTCTTCCCAAATCCCCATTATCTATTGAGTATGTGATACTGATGTAATCTATGTGTACTGTGGATGTTTTTTCAAGCTGTAACAGACACAACATTATAACTTGAAAAAGGACTATGTCATTATTTAATTATATGTTGTCTTTTTTATATCATTGTTCAGATGGGTGCGATATTTAACATGCTTGAGAAGTTCAGACTGGAAACTTACTACAACCAGTTTTTCCAGTTGGGTGTGAAGGATGAGAGAGATTTCCTTGACGGTGTCACAGATGAAGATCTAACCAGCATGGGTATGGTGAACCTCAACCTAAAGACAAGCATGACGTGATAACTGTGGATTTTCTTTCTGCATTATGGCATAATAACAATGAACAAGAACCTGCATAGTTACTGAAAGACATTTTTTTGTATTCATTCTTTAAGGTTTAAGTCAAGTAGAGAAGAACCGTTTTTCAGCAATGAAAAACAACATTCGAAGACTCAGAGCTCCAGAGCGGCAAGTTCAAACTGTGACCCCTGTGCAGAAATCATTGGAGCCATTCTGTCTGAAGTACACATATCCCAAATGTCCTCAACTAAAAGAAATTAAAGGTTGGAGTAAAACATCATTTTTATAAACTATTTATGACCACTGGATAAACTTTGACACGCCACTGAGTTGTTAATCACATAATGTGTTGTGTTGTTTGAAAAAGGACGTGGTTACAGTGATCATAGTGCAGACTTTGCAGACAACCAGAGAACATTGTAACAAAGGTCATCTTTGATATTACAGATATGGATCCATTACAAAACACTGTGGAGGACCTGATGTTAAGGATCAGCCATCTTGAAAAGGTCGGCAATGCAAAAGGAGTCTGTCTCTACACAATCAATGGGATGCCCCTGACAGACGATCCCTTCTTCAACACTTGTGAGCAGACCTGAACACTTTAAACAGTCAAGAATTAAACAAGTTTTATTTTATTTTTATTTGACTTTACACACATGTACAAAAATTATATATACATACAGTATGTACTGTAAGAAATACCTGCTGGACATAGTGAATCTTTTAGATGTTTAAAGCTACATCTTTCCATCCAAAGTCAGTTTTTACCAAACAGTGAGCTAGAATTTAAAGGGATACTTCACGCATTTGCATTAAGCTTTGTATCATTAGAAACCTGGTAGTATTTTTGAATAGTCATGCATCCTGCCCTCATTTTCCCCTGAGATGGGAAATCTTTGTATTTCTTGTCTGCAAAAGACACCACCGATGATGACGCAAAAATCGTCATTTTGCGCCATCAGTGGCTGTTGTGGTTAGCAGGGGTGAAACTACAACGCTAGTTCCTCATATTTTCGACCACTGAAGCTACAGACCTATCACAGATCAATGGGTGGGACCTCACTCCCAGAATCTAAAACTTAACGTCCGCCATATTGCTTGGTAGCTATGCTGACAGGCTCTATGGAGAAAGCTGATAAGAACCGACAACGGCGAAAAAATTATGTTTCAACTTTAAAGGTCCCATATTATGCTTTTTCTGGTTTTATATGCCCTTTAGTGTGTTTTCCATGTATCTTGTGCATGTTTAGGCACATCTATGTGCAAAAATTCAAAGTCTGCAGAAACGCGGCTTCTCCTACGTCCTCCTGTTAGCCGCATGTAACGCTCTGTTCTAGTCCCCCTCGATAAAAATGTGTCAGTGCGGCGTCATTGTCAGTGTGAGATCACTGATCTAAGCCTATTGGCTCGTTGTGGCAAGCCCAGCATTTCATGTTGAAATTTCTGAGACGCGTGCTGAGCAACTGACCAATAACGACAGAGCAGATCGGCAGACCAATCAGAGCAGACTTGGCCCACGTGGGGTCTAACAGTGTGGGCTCAGCAGAGCGTAGCTGACGGACAGCAGTACATGAACAGACACTTTTTTCTGACTTTATCTATTGTGAACGTACAAAAGTAGGTACATAGATATATGTACGTGTATGTATACGTAAATATACGAACCACAACAAGGGCATAATATGAGCTCTTTAAACTGATGTGGAAGGCACCAACTTCAAAATTTATTTCACATTTCTACTACATATATGACCCAATGTCAATACAGATTCATGTTTCAATCCGTAAAGTATCCCTTTAAGTGATCACTGGATTTTAGAGCAGGGGTGGGCAACTGGCGGCCCGGGGGCCACATGCGGACCCCATCAACCCTCAATGTGGCCCTCAGGTCAATTTTTACATATCAATTAATTGGAAACATGAAGAAAACATGACTAACTCCGCTGTGAAATCATGAAAACCAGAAAAAAATATTTGATCACACCTGTAATATTTACCATTAAAAACCTTTCTTTGAAATAAAAAACCCTGTAAATAGTAGGCTATTTATTTTTTAAATGTTTTTTTTGTTTTTTATTAAATATATATTGTGTTTTTGTCATGTTGGATTGAAAAGATTAGTTGATACAATGGGCTGTATCTGTTGGATTTACAAATAGAAACAAGTTCAATATATTAACATAAATGTTTATGTCTTCATGCAGGGTCTTTAAAGGAGAGACATATTCAAAATGGATCTATTATTTACGCCATCTTTACACCAAAAGAAAACCTGAGACAGGCTCCACGGCAGCCAAAGCGAGAGATTGCTAAAACCAATGGAGATGATGTGGTGCGCTGCCACATAATGCTCAAGGTGAGATTTAACTCAGATTATATTAAACCATGATTGATGGATATCTTTAATGTATTACTCAATCTATTGACATTATCTCCTAAAATATTTAGGGGATCACAAATTACTTAAGTAATTTCCCTTATTGATGTCTTATCTTCTGATCATTTTTCATACTGGGATTAAACCAAATCTTTTTGTTGTTGTTTTGTTGTTGTGTTTCTATTTTCATGCAGGGAGATTTTGAGGTGTCTGTGAACTTAGAAAGTGACACCATCACCAGCCTGCGACTCAAGTTGGCAAATGAAAGTGGAATCCCAGCACACGTCCTTTGTTACAAGTAATTTAGACTTATTACTTCAAGTATTGATATTATTGCTAAAACTGTGATTTTATTTATCTAAATGTACTTTTCCTTCTTCTCTTGTGTTTACAGAGGTGCACATGCTGGTGGTGACACCCTGCAGAGTTTCGAAATCTCAGAGAAGTCCACAGTTTACTTCTCTTTGTCCTCCTTTTCGGATGACACTCCACAGGATGAGACATTCTTCATTAATGACGTTGTGCCTTCAGTACAACAAACACAGAAAGGAATCAGTGTGTTGCTGTCTTCACTTTATGTTCTGGTAAGTTACTTTTTAATACATAAACAGTGCTACTGTGCACAATTTGATGACCCCTTACTTCTTCATATGTTTTTTCATACAATAGGGCACAGACACTACAGCCACTATCAGCTAGCCTTTTTGTTGGATGCATTGTTGGATTTAGTTGAATACTACATTGATTCTTTTGTAATAACTCGGGATAATCAACTTTTTATTTTTATACACATGATATACAGTATTGTAATAGGGTAGTCACGATTCCAGAATTTTAAACTTTGAAGAAACATCTAAGATGTGCTGGGACACATCATCAATATGTATGCTTAGTTCATCGGGTGTTTTGGGTCTCACCCTCCCTCAAGCGACCCAGCCAGGGTTGATTAGGCCCTGGCTTGTGTCCCAGCAGCATTGGCCCACTGGTCTGACCTCTTCATCCAAAGCCACCTAGAGGCTTTCTCTGAAGCCTCAATAGTGGTCTTGATGGCGCTCCTTTTGGCAGCTCCTGTTATGCCAAGCAGTGTAAAGACCTTGCTCAACATGTGGCCTGAAAAGCCTCCCACCTCAACTGGCGAGCTTTCCAGCCCCTTGTCTGGCACTGCTCTACCAGCTCGTGGTATTTGAGCTGCTTGCGCTCATTCGCCTCCTCCATGCGGTCTTCCCAGGGAACCGTCAGCTCTATTAGGAGCACCTGCTTGGAAGAGACGGAATACAAGCACCATGTCTGGCCTCAATGAAGTTGAGGTAACATGGTCTGGGAACTTGAGATGCCTGCCCAAGTCAACTCGGAGCTCCCAGTCCGATGCTCATGTCAGCAGGCCGGCTGATGGTGTTGTCTTTGGCTGTTGTTGCTCTCCAGCTCTGACAAAGTTGATGTATCTCTTTGTTTGGATATACTTGTTGTTAGCAACTGCCCTGGAAATGGCTTCTGCTACTGCTTTGAGCACCTGGTCATGCCTCCAGCAGTAGCGACCATCTCAAAGAGCTCTTGGACAGCTGCTCAGGATGTGCTCCTGTGAACCCTTGTCAGGGCAAAGAGGACATGCAGGACACTCACTCTTGTCCCTATTCATTGGGGCTAGGCAACACGTCATAAACCGCTTTGAACATGAACATGATTACCTTCCAGGTTACCTTCCTCTCCAGCGCTCCCTCCCAACTTTTCCATGCTCCTTGCTGCCGCATGCCCGCTATTCAGTTGGTCTGCTCTTCCTCCACACCTGCCCCCACCTCCTCCAGGACCAGCTGGCGTCTTTCCTTGACAGATCCATTTACTCTACGTTAGTAATCCATTAACCAAGGTCGTCATTGTTTGGTCCGTCCTGATGGGGTGCTCATCCTCCCCCACTCTCTGGCTCACCTGGGGGTATTTATCTGTGGGTCAATCTGTAGCTTGCTTGGGTTCTTCCTCTTGGAAGATGCAGGTTGGGCTACTACCCCTTCCTGCCCCAATTGCCTTCTTTCCATGCTGTCCACTGTCTCACCAGTTGTCACCAATCTATTCTTGGTGGTCAACCAGCCTGATCCTGAGTGTCACTGGCATTTGAGTATACTAATTTCCAAAAATTGCAAAGTCCTGCACACAACACCAAAACGTTGGCAAAAAGTATTTTTGCAATATAGACAGTGTCACCTTCTCTGCTCTCTGTCTCATTATAAGACATAAACATAATTTTAACACCATGTCAGTCAGAGGTCAGAGGTCAGTATACCGACCTGTGAATCTGTAGGTTTTTTTTTTTAAAGCGTTTGTACTTTTTCACTAATATCAAGCATTAAAAGAACAGAGAAGGGTATGCCAATTTCTTAGTGGTTTGTCTGTGCCCCATGTACAGAGGCTGTTGTCCTCAAAGCTGGTGGCCCAGATTCAAACCTGGCCTCTGGTTCCTTTCCCGCATGTCATTCCCCACTCTCTCTCTCTCCCTGATTTCGGACTCTATCCACCGTCCTATCTCTCTGGCTTAAAAAGCCCCAATATATATATATAAATAGAAATAGTATGGTTTACATGTGGTATTGAATAAAGAATTAAAGTAACATCTTTCATTCAGATCAAAGACCTGCTTGCATGGCTATAGTCTCATATATTTGTCTGCTCAAGAATTCATCGCACTGGTCTGAAAAGATGGCAAATCTAGCAAAATATTTGCTTTATTTATTAAATCGCTATACTCTGCCCTCTGGACTAAGATGATTAGTCATTAGTCATTTTTTTTGTCTTCTAGAAAGGTCATTTTGGAACAGAAGATCTGAAGGAGCTGATTTCCTGCGTACGTAAACTGACTGGATGTAACCCTCTCGCCCAAAGTTTGCATCAGTTACTTTGCAGAAACGAAATAATTACCAGGAATCAGAAGGTAAACAATAAGGAGTTAGAATTGTTATTTTTATTCTTATTCTTTGTGTGTGTGCTTCACCAGTAGCTGTTTCTCCAGATGTTCTTATTTTTGTTGTAGATTGCAGTTGTTGAAGGCTTGTACGTGCTCTTCAGGGAGCTTTTGCCTCAACTCGGAACACAACGAGGGGAGAAAATCATTGAGGACCTGGATGTCTTTGAGAATTCTCTGTACTGCTGGGCACATCTCAGATCAGAAGCTCAGGTATGATGATAGAAATGTTTGATATGGGTAAGAATTGTAATTTTAGAGATTTTCCATTTAACAGAAAAAATCTATGGCTTTCCACTAGTCAACTTATGACTTCTTTGGTTCGCCTTATTTTGACAGAAACTGACATCAGACCATGAGAACTTTGCCCCCATCACTCTTAAGTCTGAAGATGGCAGCCGTTTCTGTGAACCAGTCCGAGTGCCTGGAGTACCTGATGCCCTTGAACGGGAAAATGTTCTCAAGAAAATCAAAGGTAAAATGAAAAGTGTGACAGTTCATCAACCTTTTTTAAGCGCAGACACAAATATGAAATTATGAGAGGATTCACAGCACAAGTAAAGGGAGAAAACGCAGATAGCAGCCCCAATACAATACAGTACAATACAATACTTTACTTTATTGTCCCCCAGGAGGGAAATTTGTTTCCACAGCTTTGCATGGTTGGTACACATGAAGAAAACATATAACATTTAGTCGAAACATATAGCACAGGTGGAAAACACATACCGGTAACATGAAGGGACCAGTCAGCGTGGAAGCTTGTTTAGAGCTTCAATCGCTGAGGGGACAAAGCTCTTTTTGAAGTGTGCCCTCTTCCAGGTCAGGGTTCTGTATCTCCGACCCGATGGCAAAAAAGAAAAGAGTGGATTGAGTGGGTGAGAGGGGTCCTGGGCTATGGTGAGTGCACTGTGAGTCAGGGCTCTGTAGTTTAGCTGTGAGAGGTTTTGGATAGGTAGGCCTATGATTTTTGAAGCAATATTTGTGATACTGGTGAGTTTATTTTTGTTTGTAACAGCGAGCATGTTGAAGAAAAAGGGTGAGCAGTTGAGGAGGATGCGTTGGATGATGCTTTTATACAGAAGTGATAGGAGGTGAGGTGAGACAGACAGGGCTCTGAGTTTTCGTGTGGCCGAAAGTCTTTGCTGTATTTGAAGGAATTGACCATTTCCACAGTTTCATTGTTAATGTATGTGGGGTTCCGGACTGTATGTGAGGAACCAGGGTTAGTGATGGCCATTTCTTTTGTATTTGTGACGTTCAGTTGGAGATAGTTGTCTGTGCACCACTGTGTGAAGTGAGAGATGGTGCATTTTATATTATTGTGAATCAACAATGGAAATGAAGGAGGTGCTGGCTCAAAACTGTTGTTGTTTAATGAGCTTTATAGATGACATACAGGCATAGATGACCACCTACGAGCCCCCATGCAACCTGAGATCCTCCGGAAGGTCATTGCTTACCATACCTCGTACCAACCTCAAAACTAAAGGTGACCGAGCCTTCTCTGGCTGGGCCCCTAGACTGTGGAGTGACCTGCCGGAGAAGATCAGGGAAGCAAACACACTGTCTTCTTTTAAGTCACTTTTAAAAAAACTCATTATTTTAGACTTGCTTTTTATTTATTTTATGGTTTTATTGTTGTTTTATCTCGATGTTATATCTTACAAACTGCTGCCTATTGGCTTTTAATTCTATGTAAAGTGCTTAGTAACTTGTTTTGAAAAGCGCTATACAAATAAAGGTATTATTATTATTATTTGTGTGAAATATGAAACATCATTACAGTAAAGTCAAACACCAAGTTTGGCCAGAGATATACTTGTTTTCAACTAAGCGAACAAATGCGCACAATAGCTGCCTTGTATCCTCAGCATCTGTTAACTCCTAAAAAATTAAAGCTTTGCAATCCCAAGATGCAGTATGCACATGAACGAAGGGGCAGTGTAGAGTCAGAGGGGATGTAAGGGGACAACAATGGCAGAAAGTTTTGCAGACAAGCTGATAGACTACATGCAGAATGATCCACATCTGTATGACATTTTAATTGCCACTCAACATGTCGGTTAAACTAGAAACAATTGAGTGACATTTAAGAAATTAATGTGAAAACCTGCACAATTAAATGGAAAAAAGTGAATTATATAACGTTAATGGACGGTAAAAACATTTTGGAGACATGGAGTCAGGCCCGCAGGAAGTAGGGGTGCTGAGGGTGTTGCAGCAACCCCTGGCATGGAGCCCAAGAATTACATCAGTCCAAATGGTGCAAAAATACATTTCTGACTTTTGTGGAAAGCCCAAAAAAGACAAAAGGAGATTGATCCGCCAACTCACGCGTCAATCTTGGCTAAACTATTTTTTTTTTTTTCTGTCACCCATGCTCAAAATACGTTCCCAGTTTAGTGGGAAAAGTGCTGACGCTGTGTTCTGACCACCGATCATTATATTAGTCACCTGAGCTGGTCTGATGTTACTTTTGATTATTGATATGTTACTACTATGTTATTCCGGATCTTATGTTAACATATTAATAACCTCCTCGAATGTTGTCATGTCTGTTGCTTACATCACACATATCAAGTAGTTGCATACGGCCTGAGCTCTCTGGTGTGCCCTCTAGAGGAATCCTCTACTAAAGTGTTTAGTACATAGTGAATATGTGAACAATCGCGCTCATTATGCAGTTGGTGTTGTACCCAAACGCAAGGTCAAAAAACAAGTACTGTTTATCACCAGCCTAAGGTGTCATCCTGTTGTTCTGAAAACCACTTAACAGTAATTTAACCATACAGTCATCTTCACTTTATTTATTTTCTGTTTGTTCTGATTCTTCTCTCCTCTCAGACGGGGAGAAAATTCCAAATTGCACTGAAGAGATTTTGCGAGAAACATCTTTACAGAGAGCCAATGACATTGAGAGAATTTTGCTGAGTTTGCCACCATTCATCAAAACATACCCTCTTTGGATCAACGAGAACGAGAAGATTGGCCAGAAGTTTGTACCATCAGATTTTTTACTTTTCTCTTTTAAATTAGAATATTTTTAAGATTTCAAAGTGTTTTTCCAGATCCTAATCAGATACTGTGGCATACTTAGTATACATTAATATATGCTACATCTTATACCAAGAGACTCCATATTTATCAGCAGATTGATATGTTTTTTATACATGAAAGGGATATCAGCAATCAACACTGGCAACTCGCATGTGCTATAACCAGAGGTGGGGGACTCAAGTCACATGGGACTCAAGTCACATGTCAGACTCGAGTCGCAAATTTGAGGACTTGAGACTTGCTTGACTGACAGTGATAAAAGACTTGACTTAGACTTGAGACAGATGACTTGAAATGACTTTACTTTTAGAACTTAAATTAAAAAAATTTCGAGGAAGCTAGGATTGGGGGGGGGGGGCATGATAAGTGCAATGCGGAGGAGCGCACACAGCATACCAACAGCAGAGGCCAGGCCAATGCAACAAGCACTCAGGGCGCGATCACACTGGCAATCCATACCGTGCCTATAGGCACACTTCACCCCTAAAGTCCATTTCATTTGACCAGTGTGATCGCTCCACCTGGCACGCTTCGGAGAGGTGTGCTTCGGCACGGTACAGTTCATGCACGAGCACAGGCACGCAGGTACACAACGTTGACAGCCTTCATTATGGAGAGATCCGGGAGTGTTCTGTCTGTATCTGACTAACATGACTCAAAAAAGCCACAATGTAGCTGTCATGTTCTCCGGTTCTCCGATGTGTGGATGCGGACCCGGCCGCGCATTATTTTTTATTTTATTTATTTATGGCTGTATCTGATTAAAATGACTCAAAACAAGACACAAAGTCAGTGAAGTAGCTGTCATGCTCTCTGTGTTGTTCTCCGATGTGCAGACGTGGACTCGCTGCGCATCCCTTCTTTTCTGTTCTTTTTTCTCGAGTCCGCCTGTTTGTAAAATGAGCACTCTTCATAGTAAGATAAAGCTATGCATGTGCTGTATTACAACGTTATGCACAAGAGGTAACCGTACTTGTACGTGTTTTTTGTATTTACGATAATTGAGGATTATTGCATTCTATTGGCAATGTTTTTAGAGGCTTTAGCATCCGATTTTAAGTCAGATAAATAATGCTACAAATGTACAAATAAACTAATTAGGTAAAATAGATAGTCACATCATAATGAGAAACCGTTTGTTAACCTTTTTTTACTGCTTTGAATTACTGTTTTACCTGGTCGCACCTCCTGACAACATGAGTTATAAAAGAAAGAAATTGTCGTACAAGAAACAGAAGGGTATTAGGTGTTGGTGGGCGATATAACGATGTTAGATCGTGAAGGATTTTGGCGTGCTGACGATCTACCAAAGCAGAGAGATCATAGAACCGGGCTTATGTGTTTATTTTATCATGCTGCAGTTTATGCTCCGACACACCTCTCCCACCTCTCCTCTTTTGCTCTGCAGCGGTGAAAACGAAACTTAAAGTCTGCAAAAACAACTCCATCCCGGTTATATGCAACTGTTCTGATATTTTTCCAAACCGACACGGCGTGATCAACAGTTAACTTATCCGCATAGTTTGTACAGTTAAGTTTACATCTCAGATAGCGACACAAGAAACCGTTTAACGAGCCGAAGAGACGTTAATTATTTATTTTGGGATCCTGTGGCCTTTCTTTTACTGCCACACTGGAGGTTTGAATCTTACTGACCTCCATAAATTCCTCACAAAGATTGCACATCCTTGACCCTGAAAGGATCAAGCCTCTGAAAAATAGCAAAAGTTTTTAATATGAAATCTTGCAGACATTTGTTTTTAAACTTTGGATTTAGACTTGAGCCTTTATTCAGATCTATCTTTGTACAATTAAATGACAGCTTTCAGATAAATATGGAGAAGACTTTTGGATGCATGGTGGAAGAATTAAACACTCCCTCCAATCAGTGGCTCAATGTGACCCCACCTCTACAGTTGAAGGAGCTGGGACAGTGTGGGAATCGCCTTGTTCTGCTAACGAAAGGTACTCCATAAAATCTCTATCAGGATGGGGTATTTCAAACCGTGTTTAAGTATTTTTCGAATGTATTTGCACTTTCGTAAAGTACATTTGAATAATTTGAGGCACTAAATACTTCTTTATTAGCCCATTAAGAGGGAAATACTTTTTTACTTCAGTACAGATTATATTAATGTAATCACAGTTGGTAGTTTTTACATTTTTGAAGTTTCTTCATGAAGTAGATTATTATTGAGGATCAACAAAGAAAATGATGAAGTGTTTATGTCAATGAATCTGAATCTTAACCAATCTGAAAGACAATACCATTACTTTAATTCACTACCTTTGATATATAGTGCCATGATGTTTTAATATGTCATTTAAAATTTTCTTTTTCTTTGATAGACAACCTTGGGGTTTGTCTGGAGAAAGACAAATTATCCCCTGATATGATACAAGTGCGTGATTGTTTTAATGGCAAAGTCAGAAAAGAAGATGTGAATCAGTTGGCAGCCAGGTAAAGTATCTCAGTGTCTCATATCCACCTGATGTTTCCCAGAATCAAGGGAGCACTCTGATGCAATATGCTGATTGCTGATTGATGTGTATTCAACGTTAAACACAGGACTGGTGATCACAGAGATGACGGAACATTTGTCACAACCAGGACTCCAACAGAGGCTATACTGGTAACACTTTGACTGTCTCATGTCTTATCATGTGAATGAAATAGTAGTGATGTGCAGTTCGGCACTTTAAGTAGCAGACTCTCAATGTGTGAATGTGAGTCCAAGTCCATTTACCATTTACATAAAAAGACCATTGAACATCCGATTGTCTTTCAGAAATATAAAGACGACTGATATTCAAAGGAATTTCTGCCAAATGATCAGCTGGACACACCTCTTTTTATAATGCAATCAACAGAATATGTACAATATATTTATGTATATAACATAAAAAACAACAACCCTCATATAGAACATGTGGCAGTATATAAAAACACAAAGAATAAAAAAAGACTTCTTACAATAATTATACATAAATATGAACACTAACAATTAAAAGTAAAATGAGTTATCTAGACACCCAGATATTTAAAAAAAATGGCATTAAGAAATGGTTGTAGCTTCACTGGCTTTCTTCTCTCTTGTTATTTAAAAAATGAAGTAGGATTTAGTTTGGTTCACTTTAAAGCCAGAGAAGGTACCAGTTTTGAAAGAGATTGTATAGATTGATTTAGATCAGTAAGGAACAAGATAGCGTCATCTGCATATAATTCAATACGTTGCTCCGGTTTCCCCATCCCAGTGCCAACCATTAGAGTGTTTGCCCTCGTGGCAAGTACAAAAAGTGTCAGAGAAAGTGGCAACTCTTGCTGAAATCTGTGAAAAAGCTCAAATGGTTGTAAACTCAAGTTATTGGTGGAAGCTTCAGCAGATGAATAAACAAACAAAATGTAATACCTTCCATAAAAGTAATCTCATAACCAATACATTTAAGCATTTCCAATAGAGAAGGCTACGAGGTTGAATGACTTCTCAGCATCGAGTGAAAAAATGGCGAAAGCCTTTGTAATAATCTTGGCATCAGAGTGAAGGAGTGAGATTGGTCTGTGTGTCACACCTTCGGTTGAGAGTTTGTCAGGTTTTAAAATAAGTGTAATAATGGAACTTCCTAGCAATGAGGGCAGAAAGCACTGTTCAAAGGATTCCACATAAATATTCAACAATGGGAACCTTAGTTTTTCTTTAGTTTATAAATACCTATCATGTCCTGCTGCCTTAACCACTCTCATGTTTATAATAGTATTGGAGATTTCCTTCAAATTCAGTTCCTTATCAACTCCCATTTTGCCTCTTCATTAATACAGACAATAGCAAGCATACACCATGTCTTCTTAATTCTTGGGGTGTTCTAATTGATAGAAGAGAGGGCTTTGTAACTTCACAAACAACAACAAAAGTTAGATTGATTTAATCTAAACGTTTTTTATCTCCTCCTGTACATTCCTGATTGCATTAATGGCTGTCTGCGTTCATTTTCTTAATTTGCCAGAATAGTAATTTATTGTGTTTTTCACCCATGGTCGGCTGGGCACACTTACAGTATGATACTTTTGACTTGAACTTTGTTAGGTGCTGATCGACACAAGCTCCTCTATGGGGGAGGAGTGCTATGAGAGGGCTGAAATACAGAAGATTCATGCTGTAAAAGAGCTCTTTGACAACTTTGCAACAAGGACCATGGCTTATGATTTTCATCATATCATTGGCCTCGTAGAATTCAACTCTGTGGTCAAGACTCTCAACACATTCACTGAAAATCTGGAAAAGTTCAAGGTGAATTCAGTTATTTCTTAACTCATTCATTTTTATTTTATTGAAATTTGCATTAGGGTGTCATGCAATAGTAAACCCTAATAACTTTTATGTAGGAGCACATTCGTAAAATCGAGGCAAGTGGCTGTACTCTGCTGTATGACGCCCTGAGCCATGGGGCATCTGAGCTGGAAAAGGTCAAGGCGAGATTCCCAGATTGTAGACTCCGCATTATATGTCTCACAGATGGAAATGATGTGGGGTAAATGTCATTTTTTCTAATCATCTTACATGTCTTGTTAATGCATGCTTTGTGAGTACATGCATTTTGACTCCCTTAGTGCTCACAGTTTAATGACTTCACAATGATTTTAAGGGAGCTGATATTGTAGCCTGAATACTTTCCATAGATCCTCCAAGAAGCCAGTCCCTGTTACAGTCGAAATGCTAAAATCTGACATTGTTGTGGATTCGATCCTCCTTGGAAAAGTGACGAACAACATGCTGCATGGAATCAGCAATGGAACAGGTATGACATCTCTGAAAGTCAGCTTCATTCATTGAGTCTATTTTATTTTATTTATTTAAAAATAGGTACAGTGTCCATTTATGAACATGTTAGTATGCCAAATTAAAGCTTTAGGCTAACTTTTATATGTAGTCCCTTGGCAGGTTGGTAGTTCACACATTTACAAATTTACATATAACTGTTAACTGTAATAAACACAACATTAATTTAGTGTTGAAACTTTATTCACCTCCCGGTGGACATACACAGCAGCATCCAGCTAGTCTCCCTGCACAACATCCTGCCTATGCGCCACCCCAGTTCAAGGTTCACATTGAAAAACGTGTTTTCCGTAAGTGAACATGGTAAAAGAGAAATAAAAGTTGACAGTAACCACAATGACAAGCAAAAAACAAACAACAAGTAATGACCAAGCAACAACATAAACTGTACACTAGTTGACACATTTATACAAGCATAAAAGTGGCTGTGCCTGAGTCTTATAAGTAAAAGTGCTGTAACTGTAACTGCCTGTGACTTTAAAGTGCTGGTGGGATTGCACATAGCCCTATTGCATAGGGTTGAGTTTGCATATACAGACATGTGTAGGCAGATACTATTGCACAGGCTAAGATAGTCAGTGTAAAAACAGAGAGAAGATCAGGAAGACCCTTTGACATTAGCTGTTATCTTCAGGGGTTATGAAGAATACGTTTTAGTGTGTGCATCTGTGTTTTTTCAGCCATCACAACCTTTTGAAACAAATTTGCCTGGCATTTTTAACATCTCAATTGGCAGGCGAAACAACGCTCTTGATGAATTTGTGATAGAATTAAAGGTGTGGTTGTGTGAAATCAAATTCTGTCCCATTTCTTCCATTACTCCGACAACCCCACTAACCATGATAGAAATCGTTCAGCATCCTGAACCACCAGAGCCAAGGACTCATGACACAACTTCTTTGATTATGCAGTTACTCAAACTCTTGTTTATCTCTCTTCCACACATGCCCATGGCTTCCAGGTGGCTGCTGTTTCAAACCACAGTCAACCAAAGATGGTCTGAAGCTCTTTGAGATTGAGACGGTTCTGTCTTTGGAGCTGAGGAAATTGAAGAAGAAACTCCACCCGTCCTCCATCACTGAGGTTTGTATTTGTTAATTATTGTCCTCTATTCAGTGTAAAGTGGTATGAAAATGAAAGGCATCACTTCAATACAGGTTTAAAGACTTTACATCAAGTTAACTTGCTTATTAATGTATCCTCTTGTAGAGTTCTTTGTCAAGCATCTTCCTTACTCATGGGTATGATGAAAGTCCAGAGACTTTGTTGCCAAGTCAGATAAACAGCAAAGTGACAGTGACTGAGAGGTGAGTAATTCAAATGACCACCACTAGAGTTGGATAGCAAACTCTGAACTCTAAGGGTATATAAACAAACAGAAGCCATTTTAACAGATAAGATATATGGTACGAATAAACTAAATGAAAATGGCGACTACAAAGTTGTTACAGCACGTTTTGCCAGATCACCTCCTGAGCACTGCCGAGGTGCCCTCGAGCAAGGCACCAAACCCCCTCCCCACCACCAGCTCAAGAGCGCCCACTGTGGGCCGCTCCGTCACTCTGACATCTCTCCCTTAGTGCATGTCCATAGGATCCTGTTTGTGTGCATGTGTGTATATACTTCAGCCTATGTGTGTGTTGCATGACTTCAGAGTGTAAAAACTGAAATTTCCCCTTGCGGGGATCAATAAAAGTTAATCTCTTAAATTAATCTTAATCTTTTACAAAGGCAGACAAAATTTCAGACACTCTGATACAAAGTCGAAACAATTTTAATACAGAAATAATTTGGTTTTAATGCCATTTTGGTGTAGGTCAATTTCGTGGCACAACCAACACTCATTGTTAAATTCAATGTAGCTAGAAAATTAAAGTAACTCTAACCAAATATTTTTAAATCATTTCAAACCCATTATGTAAGCAAGTAACATGAATGTAATTTACAAATGATTAAACCCTTATTTATTTTTGATTGTAACAAACCGCTGAGTCCCAGGTAAAGAGTCTGGTGGTAATCACATATTCTGCCTTTACAATGTTTGCACTACATCTGAATTATTCATAATCTCTCTTATTAGTGCTCTGAAGAAGAGGATTAAGGCGACAAAGCAGGGTTGGGTTCTGGAGAAAGACAAACGTATACTGGAGGAGCTGAAGAGTCTGCACTGTGATCCACATCCCTTCTTCAAAGTTTTCCCCTCAGAGTCAGACTTCAGTGAGTGACATGCTTTTTTTAATTGTTCATTTTTATTTTGTGGGCCAAACGACTGGTAAAGTTTTTCCACTTCTGTCATGCTCTACAATAGCCAACAATAGTCTGCTGACAGATTTTTATTTTTATTTTTTTTAATTTTTTTTGGGGGGGGGGGGCATAATACCAATAGAGCGTCATAATCACAACAGAAAACTGCTCCTTTTAACATTTTAAAACTTAAATCTCTAAAAACAGGTGTAATCTCACTCAAATATTAAATATAATAGATATTTCTAAGTTGGGTATAGACAGCACATTTTGAATGTACATGTTTATAATAAGTATTTACTGTGCAGTACGTCTTGCTTTCAGTTATGCTGTTTCTTATTCATGAAATCTTTACAGTTTTGCTGTTCTATGATCAGATATATTTTGGCGTTTCCTAAGTCGGTGATTCCCAAAGTGGGGCACAAAACCCCTAGTTGTTCAATGCACACTGTTTTGCTCTGCCAGAAAAGCATGGAACAGCATCTCTTTTAATTGCTTCCTCTTTAAAGTGATTAGTTATTTTTCTCAGCTTGTTGTCAGACACTGAAGTTGCTTTTCTGTACTTCTTCCAGCCAATGTTTGAGATACATTCTAAAAAACGTAGGAATTTGTTCGCAAAGATTGTCACTGACGCTGTGTTTAGTGTATGTTGATATATGTTGATGTGTATGGTGAGGGGTGAGGGGGCTTGAAAATATTTTCATCGGCCGGCATAAAACTTTTGGAACTACTAGCCTAAGGGCTTCTAAAATCAACAAGGCTGACTCTTTGTTTATAATCTTCAGCTTTCTGGAAGATTCTCATGCAAGGTCCTCCGGACACACCATATGAGAAAGGAGTGTTTGAGCTGTACTGCCAGTTTGGTCCTGACTACCCAGTGAAGCCTCCACTCGTCCGCTTTGTCACCAAAGTATCCTTTCAAACTACGACTAATATTTTTGATAGAACTACAATTGTTGTTTGGTGCTTGTCTTTTCAGAGCCAAAGGAGGGTCAAAACTTAAAGTATTAGCTGAGATATAAGTGGTACAGGGCAGCTGTGGCTAAGTTGGTAGAGTTGTTGCCTCTCATCCGGAAGGTCGAGGGCTCGATCCCCAGCTGGGCAACATGTCTGATGTGGGCAAGACACTTAACTCTCAAGACAACTTTGCTCCCACTGCTTTGGTGGAGGTGTATGAATGGGATAAGTTACTTCTGTTGGATGATACTACATAGTGTGTGAAAGGGTGTGAATGGGTGGGTGTGACATGCAATATAAAAGTGCTTTAAGTAGTCGGGAGACTAGAAAAGCGCTATATAAGCTGAAGTCCATTTACCATTTACATTTTATAGACTTAAAATTACTCCTACAATTTCCCTGATTTTTTCAAATGAATTTACAACTCTTAGAGTACCCCCTCTTATTTGACTTGGAAAATCCTCTCTCTGTACCTTTATTATTATTTTTATTATTGTAGAAGCTATTTATTTGTTGTTAGAATTAGTTTGGTATTTAGTTATTAATATTTGGGTGGTGTTGTTTATTTTGTTATTTTTCACGTTTTCTTTAGTTAGAATAGATTTTGGGGTAATATTTTCTTTTTGTTAGTAAGTAAATTTAGTTTTGCATTAGTATTTTTGTTAGGTATTTGGGTAACACTGTGGGCACCTGAGGTTATATAGGTAAGAGGCAGGTAGAGGCCCAGCATGCACCTGTGTGGGTATATGTTTTTTTTTACCAGCGCAAGAGAGGCAGCAGGATCCACGATTTTCTTTGTTCTTTTGTTTGCTTGCTTGCTTTTGACCAAATAAACCATCAGAAATGCAGATTTATTGCTAAGACAATGGCCCTTTTTTGCCTGTGTAGACCACATCATTTAATTATGTTTGATATAAGTTTATTTTGATTTTTTCGGACAAATAGCCACCACATAAAGTAAAAAACCCACACTTGGACTCAAAGGAAGGATTCCTTTTTTAGGATATTATTATTTATTTGTTTTAAAAAAATGGGCCTAATAAGCATTTAGAGAACCACACAAACATTTAATTTAAAAAAAAATTGTCATTACTTCTGAGGTAATATTCTCTGTTTGCACTTCAGTTGTTTTCTTTAAATGTGAGAACAGGTCTACCACTGCAACGTCAACAGTGTGGGACGCATCTGCCACAACATATTTGACCGCAACTACAACGCCCACATCACCATGAGAGAAATCCTGGAAGCTGTGTATGGACTGCTCATCGTCCCTGAACCTGAGGATCCTCTGGACAGGTGAGATTACACACATGCTTAATCAAGTCGCACTTTGAAGTATGGTAAGTGGAAAACAAAGCTGATTATTAACCCAGAAATATTTTTAGTGATGAGGATGTTATTTATCTATTTGGATTTACTTCTGTTCTTTTAATTAGCAGTTTTACCTCCTCTAGAAATCGTAAGTTACATTTCTAGGGTCGTTTAGTGAATTGGATGATGGCAATTTACCAATTTATTCATTGAACAAACAGGAGCCTCAGTGTGAAAGAACCATACATAGCCTGCCATAACAGCTTGGCACTTCCTCCTCATGCTGGTCACCAGCCTGGTCACACACCGCTGTGGGATGGCATCCCATTCTTCAACCAGCATTTGTCACAAGTCAGCCAATGTGGTTTTATTATTATTAATAATAATAATAATAATAATAATAATAATAATAATAATAATAATAATAACTTTATTTATATAGCACCTTTTAAAAACACAGGTTTACAAAATGCTTTGACAAACAGCAAAAACAAGAACAAACTAAAGCAAACACAGAAGAACATAAACAACAGCAAGAACATAACAAATGCAAAATACTAAAAATAATTGAATACAATTCAACAGAAAAGAACCCAAAGTGCACGATACCCAACAGACATATATAACCCGACCATCACAAGAACCATTATAAGAACCCAGGCAATACAAGAACCCAACAACACGAGCTGAGACCAAGAGGACCAAAGATTTAAAAAGATGTTAGGAACTAAAAGAGATAAAACCAAATAAAAAGATAACAACAATAAGAAGGTAAGAGCAGTAAAAGAAATAGAAACAAGTGGTTAAAGGATCAAAAAACCCAAAACTATAATAATAATACAAATAAAAAGTAAATATAAATATGAAAGATAAATAGACAAAGTAAGTAAGATAAGAAATTACCAAGTTAAAACACAAGAGGAGTTAAGATATGAGCAAAAGTACGAGATAAGAGCATCAATAAAAGAACAGTAAGAAGTAAAAGAAGTAAAAGAAGATAAAAATAGTGAAACCAGTTAAGAAAAGACATTAAGAAGACGACATCACATAAAAGCAAGTCTGTAAAAGTATGTTTTAAGAAGGGATTTAAAAGAATTAAGGGAATCTGCAAGTCTTGTCTCCTCAGGGAGGTCGTTCCAAAGTCGAGGGGCCCTGACTGAAAAGGCCCGGTCACTTTTAGTTTTAAGTCTCGACTTTGGAACGACCAGGAGGCCCCCACCTGAGGATCTAAGACTGCGGGCTGGCTCATATTGGTCACTCTGACATGAACAGTACTCCCAAGCTGATCCCACAAGTGTTCAATGGGTTTGAGGTCAAGACTGCAGGCAGGCCATACCATCCTCTCCACTCCCAAATTCTGGAGGTAGGGTGCGTCAGAATTGTCATTTTTGCTTAGGAAGGTTCCTAACTGAGTGAAATGACCCGGAAGCAGGGTACACTGGACCATCCTTTACGAAAGGATATGAGATATGCTGCACCACAATAACTTGCGGCCGCAACATTTAAAGCGAGTCACGCATCCGACCATTCAGAAAAATTAACAATGATTGCATAGTGACATAGATCATGTAAGGGACATTTTTAACAAGATGATGTTTTATTCAACATATTTCATTCACTTAAGAATGCTTTTTGCAGTTGTACATTTGTATTCTTAAAACATTATGTATATGTATATCTTGCATAAATGTAACAATTAATATAGAAAAGATTTGGCAAGTTTTTCATGGGCGCAACCCAAATACTCAGCTCTGCTGCTTATCCCATAATGCATGTTCCTTACAAATGTGACACCATTTAAAAGGGAAAAAACAGGCTTTCCAACGGTATAAGATTTATTGCCAAGAAGCATTGTTACAACAAAGAAATAATCTATCAAACACAAATTTCCTTACTTTTTGTGCAATGTTTTTTTTAGGAATATGAGGGTTTGTCAAAATGTTACAATCAATCGCAGCCTCAATTGTACAAAAAACGTGAACAATCATATTGTAAAATATAACATCAAATAGTGTGTATCTCTTCAATATTATTATTTTTTATTTCTATGGAAGCATTTTGGCAGAGGAATTCATGACGAGCCGTGCAGAGTATGAACGAGAAGCCAAGAAGCACACAGAGGAAACTGCAGGGATCTCAATGGATGACATGGAAAAAGTAAACGGTCTCCTATAAAAGTGTCACTGTGTGATAGACTTTGTCTTTTTTGTGTTGACACATTAAAATTTTCTTTCAGGTTTTAAGTTACCATGTCATCTTGTAATGTCTATTTCGTTTATTTTATTTCAAGAAAATGGATGTTCCGGTGGCACAGTTCATACCCGAACATCTGATCTGTCCACTCACCAAGAAGATGTTTGTTGATCCTGTGAAAACTGTCTACGGCACGGTGTATGAACGCCAGGCCATCGAGGAACACCTGAAACAGTGAGTTTGTTTACAGCTGTTGACATGAATGTAATGTGAGTTAGCTAAAAGTTACAAAAACTACACATTTGCTTATGAAACCATTAAAGAAGGCATTTCCTCAGATGACTTGGCTAAACACTCTTTGCAGACACCAGCATGACCCAAAAGCCGGACCAGAATGCAAGCTTGAGATGGGCAACATCAGAGCAGACCAGGACATGAAGAAAATGGTGATGGATCATCGAACACGTCAAATCAAATAATTCTGAATAAATAAAAACTTGAAGGTGAAAGAGGTTTGATCCGCCTCAGTACTTAAATGCTGAGATGTCAAATAATTGAAAGTCACACTCAGTTTTCTTAATGTTTCTTAAAATATCATAACAAAGTTTATATTCAACCTATATACTTCCATTATAGGAGTTTGAAAAGTGTAATAATCATAATAAAGCATATGCATTACAGGTGTTTTAGTTGTTAAACAAGAAAAGGTTTGGATGGGAAAACCTTTGTCTTTTTTTTATTCAAGGGACTTTTTTGAGTTAGCTGTTTATCTAAGCTCAGTGTTTTTCTATCAAATTTCATTGTTCTCTATTTTACCAATAGAAAAATACTTTTCATGACTACATTTTGTGATAACTTTCTTGGAGTGAAACAAATCAAGATTTTGGCTCATTGCATTCGACCTACTTGCATTTGTAAAATAATAAAGACTGAAAGTGGACAAATAACATGTTTTTTCTTTGGTCTTTAGTGTGATTTCTCTGCAGGTGTATAAGAACTTTCTTTCATGACAGGTCATCTATTGGTCACTGTAAGGCTAACACAGTAGAATTTTACTCAATAACATGGTTACCAACAAGACTTTTCTAGTAGTGAGACATCTTTTATTGTGTTTTTGCTTTGTACGTACTTTACTTTATTTCAGACCCATAGGTCCATATCGTTATTAAAAAAAGCACAGATATATAGATACAGGACATTAACAAAGGGATATCATCACTACATGTGATTACAATACAAAGAGACATTTACACCAGTGTTTCCAGAAACACGAGGTATACCTTGTGTTGCTTAGTCTGGGCTGGGTCATTGACATTATAATGACATTTTCTGAGTTATTTAATCGACACATCAATTTGAACATAACATTTCTCAGCAGAGCATGAAATGTGGTCACATTATTAAAAACAAACATCTGACTTGCACTCGTCCATCTTAGTAGCTTCAGAAATATTCTGAATGCATCATTATATGCCACCTGCAGCTTTTTCATTTTAGCTTTACTATAATTGCACCACAAGTGGGCAGTATATAGGGGAGTACAGTAAGCTCTGAACAGCTCAGTTTTAACATTGTCTGAGCACATTGAAAATTTACGTGCCAGCATATTAGCTTGAGAATACAGTTTGCAGCACTGACGCTGCACATCATCACTCAAGTCATTCCTGATAATATGTCCCAGATATTTGACTTTATCTACCACACTCAGGGCTTGATCAGAGATAAAGAACGAAGGAAAATTCTGCTTTCGATCGTCCTTTGCTTTTATATCATGACAACGGTCTTCTTACTATTATACTTTATGTCACACTGCACTCCATAACTCAGGCAGATTTTTAGAAGTTGCTGTAGGCCAGCACTATAAGGTGACAAGATTACTAAGTCATCAGCATACATCAAATGGTTAACAATTCTATCTCCCACCATACAACCAGTCTTACAAGCTTTAAGCTGTTCAGAGAGATCGTCCATATACATAGAATTCCAACTTGTCGGACCCAACTGGTCACTGAAAAGGGTACCGATATACTCCTGCCCCATCGGGCGCATATGGATTGATGCAAATACCAGGAATGCAATATTCTTATCAACTAAGGGGGGCCCCTCTGTTATGTAATTTCATAAATAATTTACCGTGATTTATTCTATCAAAGGCTTTGGACCCATCCAAAAAAACATAAATGTAGTCAAGTTTTTCCTCCTGTACATGTTAACAACTTCCTTCAGAGCATATATACACATATCTGTACAGTGTTTATTCTTAAAACCGAATTGGTGGTCTGTTGTCGCAATGTATTCCTGAAGGCGATCCAAGAGAACTAGTTCTAATACTTTTGAGAGTATACTAGCCAGGGCAATTGGTCTGTAGTTCTCACTGCTGGATATTTTACCAGTTTTGTCTTTGACTACTACTGGTTACTTATTACTGAAGTAAAGTCTTGAAAAGCGACGTACTATTTATAGTTAGTATATCTTATTTCAAGACACTCAAAAAGTCAAATGTGCTTGCCTCATTAACAGATATTTTTACTTATTACAATCAATGCAGGCCTTGCTTTGACATTAGTGCAAGAGCTAAAAGAAGTGGGTGATAAAAATCATTTTATTCTGTCAGTGTTTTAGTGGTCTGAATTGGGGAGAGTTGATGTGATGGCGAATAAGTGAAAATGTAGATGATTATGTTTTCAAAGAGCTCAGAGCATGACCCCTGACCTGTATCTGTCCATACTGACTTAAATAGATAATCCATCATATTGTTGTACAGATTGTTGTAATCATGGGAGCAGCTGTAGAAACCTACTTGTGGTAGATTTTCCTTCAGGATGTTGAAGTTATTTACTGGTAGACATACTAGAACAAGTTTGGCCAACATCTTCCCAGTATACATCAGAACCATCACCTCAGATAATGAAAGGTGGCAGCCATAAAAAGCCAGATGCAGTTAGATTCTGTGGCAGGAATGATGATCCTTGTTCTCCTGTTTGTGTGTCTGCATCAGCTCAGGGGAGAGGAGGATTTGGGTTTCAGAGTTTCATGTATGAGAATAATAACAGTAACACACAGTACCAGCTTTTCCCTAAAATACCAGAAAGTCAGCACCATGGTAATGGGTTCAAACCCAACTAAGACCACAAAGCCTATTTTTGGAGTGTGTATATGTGTATATGCACAGCCTTCAGCGTTGTTTTGGATTTCAGCCAGGTACAACTGAAAGAGTCAAATGTAACCTTCAGGCATCAGTTTAATTTACTACCCTCTTAAGTCACTAAGGACAAAAATGTTGATGTCCAAAAAACTGCTATAAAAATAGAACAGATTGATATTTTTCTCTGCTTTTTTCTGCATACATCTCTTAAAAAACGTCAGCCCTGCGCAAAACTAATAAACATTCAATTATTTTTTTAGGAATTTAACCCTTTAAACGCCAGTTTGATTACTTGATGTCATTGTTGTTATTTATGAAAAAACCCACAAAAATGTGTTATTTTCCATATAACAAATATTTTGGTGGCTGGGGGAGTTTTTTTTTTTTTTTTAAATCAGTCTTGGATATGTCAAAGTTTGATTACATGATTCTGGCATATAAAGGGTTAAATTCCTGTGGTTATTAAATATTGGATAGTTTTGAGCAGGGCTGGAGTTGTTTAAGAGATTTATGCAAAAAATGGTAGATACAAATATGAATCTGTTCTATTTTTATAGCAGTTTTTGGAAGTGGACATTTTTTTGTCCTTAGTGACTTAAGAGGGTAAACATGTTTCATAGTGTTCTATTGATCTATTAAAAAAAATTGCATTCCAAAATGCATTCCAAGTTTTTCATCGGCGCAACTCACATACTCAGCTCTGTTGCTTATTCCAAAAATGCATGTTCCTTACAAATGTTGCACCATTTAAAATGGAAATAAGAATAAGATGTATAAGATGCATTGCCAAGAAGCATTGTTGCAACAAATAAATAATCTCTCAAACACAAATGTCCTTACTTTTTGTGTGATGTTTACTTTTAAATACTTATACCTAGACTTATATGCAATGGTTATGACCAAAAACTGACGCGACCCAGATATTTGTTTAGCGTTATAGATGAGGAATTTCACAGTGAAAAAACCCTGTGCCTCTAATATGGCCAAAATTAGACAAATTAAAATGTACCTGGTTAAAATAAAACCCTATTCTCTGTGTCTAATAAAATCAAAGTGATGATGTCAAAGTGTTTTAATTATGTAGCCTACAATGAACAGTAAGCAAATTAACCCAGCATCCATCGAATTAGGCTGGGGCTGTGTCCATAAGGCTGCCTCTGACATTTCCTTTTCATTGTCAGTCACAGCCTCAACTAAATCGAAAGGAATAGTTAAACAGGTTTAGTGTCACCAGATCGCTGACATGACAAGGTAAGATTGTTCCTTTTTACTCTTTCAATCTTTAATTATGGATTAGTTTGCACTTTGCCGTCAGAACTCCAAGAAAAGTGAGCGTCAACATACAGTAGCCTAATTTAATAGTTTTAGTTCAAGGTTGTTTCAATGGTAACCTATTTTTTTTTTACTTTCCCTTACATGGACCTCATTTGACAACACATTTTGGTAGATAAAAAAACAACACTATCTTGAATCCCTGATTTGATATAGCTTACCAACCAACGTGATAATAGCAATTGATATTAGGCTACTTGGGCCCTAACTGGATTTTGTAAGTGCCATTATATTTTTGACATTAACACCTGGCAGAGATCACCTCTCTGTGTGCTTATCGAACACACGATATATGATGTCACCAATATGATGTTGCATGACGTGCGTCACCAACAGCAGGTGCATGAAAAATATGCTTGCTGGTGCACCTCAAAGATCTAAAATAAGGATTGTGTTAGTTATTCGTATTGTTTTTAATGTTGGGAAATTCTGAGGATCTCGATAGGCCCATTAAATTCAGAGAAGCAGAGTTGATTGGTTGCATTCA